CCAGTGCCGGGAGACCTCTCGGCTCCGCTGATCCCGGTGCTGGGAGGCATATTACCCTTTTACTATATAGGATAGAGGCCTGGTGCATGGGTGGGGCTGGCTGGTTTGCCCTGAAGGGTGTCCCGGATCAGGGTGGGGGTCCCACTGGGGTGCCTGGCCAGCCTGGATGAGGGGATGATGGCTGTTTGCAGCTGGTCACACACCCTTCAGGGTGGGGGTCCCCACTGGGGTGCCTGGCCAGTCTGGGTGAGGGGCTGAGGGCTGTTTTCAGGCTGGGACTGAAGCTCCCAACTGCTCCTTTTTTTCTTTTTTTTTCTTTTTTTATTCTGAGCCAGCTTTAGCTCTGAGGCTCCAGCTCTTAGGCCTCCGCTCCTGAAAGCAGGTATCTGGTTTGTTTAGGTTCTACAATCGAAACTCTGTATCAACTCCAGGTCTGAAATCCCGGCTAGCTGAAAGCTGGTTTCTGGGGTTTTGTTTAGCTTCTATTTTTGTAACTATGGCAGTTAATTTGCATATTGCCCTGATTAGCCAATGGGAAGGGTAGCGCTCATACGCCAATTACCATGTTTCTCTTTCATTAGATACGATAGTTAATTCCTTTAGTTATTTTGGCATAAGCAGTTACAACTAAAAAATAGTAATACAGGTTGCCCTTGAGTAATGCCCTCTGCCAACTAGTTGAAAGGCTTCTGTTAGTCCATTTAGCCTATCCCCATGGTTGGCAAACTGAGGCTCACGAGCCACATGCGGCTTTTTGGCCCCTTGAGTGTGGCTCTTCCTAAGCCTTAGGAGTACCCTAATTAAGTTAATAACAATGTACCTACCTATATAGCTAAGTTTAAAAAATTTGGCTCTCAAAAGAAATTTCAATTGTTGTACTGTTGATATTTGGCTCTGTTGACTAATGAGTTTGCCGACCACTGGCCTATCCTATATAATAAAACCCTAATATGCAAATTGACTGAATGGCAGAATGACTGGTCACTATGACATGCGCTAACCACCAGGGGGCAGACACTCAATGCAGGAGCTGCCCCCAATCCTGGGTTGAGCGTCTGTCCCCTGAGAGGGAGGTGACCAGCGGCGGCAATCGGGGGGCAGGGCCAGCCAGTGGGCGGCACCAGGTCGCCAGCCAAGGTGGGTGACAGCGGGGACCCCCGATCGCCCTGCCCACTGGTCACCCCACAGATGGCCCTGATCACCAGCCAGGCCTAGGGACCCTACCCTATATATTGGGAACAGTCTCTTAGATTTAAAAATTAAAACCTGGCAAAGCTACTCCAACACTGAAGAAAAAAACAGGATGATGCAGCAATTACATGCAGTGACTCTGGCTTGCAATTTTGTGGTCAGCCCTGATTCTGACACTTACAACTGTGTGACAACGCCAATTCTCTCTGCTTTTGTGTCCCCCCCCCCCCCCCCCAATAAGATGTGGAAAATGGTACTACTGCCTCAGAAGGATCATATTATGTACTACTTTTTATAATCAGGGCAAAAAAATGTAGCTGCCCATACAACAGCAAGATGCCTTTCACCTGTATGAAAAGTATGGTCACTGGTGCATGCAGCATCCCAGATTGCGAGAGGGATGTCCGACTGCTGGTTTAGGCCTGACATTCCCCCAATGGGTCCCAGATTGCGAGAGGTTAGCCCGGCCCACCTGTGCATGAATTTCATGCACCGGGCCTCTAGTTTCTTTATGAAGGGGAGTATACCATATGCTAGTTATGTAGTCAGCATGTAGGTTTAAATCTCAACTCTGCTGCCATTTATTTACTCTGTAACGTTGGGAAAGATTCTTCATCTTTAAAATGGGCAAATATACACCTTACAGAATTATTTTATAATGACTAAAGAGGAGAGTGTATTAAAAATGTATAGTTCAAGAAACCAAGATGGCGGCATAGGTAAACACCGGAAATTGCTGCCTTGCACAACCACTTCAAAAATACAACTAAAAGATAAAACAGACGTCATCCAGAACCACAGGAAGGCTGGCTGAGTGGAAATTCTACAACTAGAAGGAAAGAGAAAAGCATACCGAGACTCAAAGGAGGTGCGGTGTGGAAGTAAAGTGCAGAGGTACAGAGGCGCACATGGAAAGGGCTGGCAGCTGAGGACACGGTTGTCTTTTTCAATCGGGAGGGAGTCTCAAGCTCCCTACTGCTCTGAACTCCAGTTCTGGGCAAGTCTCTGGCGACCCAGACTCATACGGGGAGAGACTAGACCAGGGGTGGGCAAACTTTTTGACTTGAGGGCCACAATGGGTTCTTAAACTGGACCGGAGGGCCGGAACAAAAGCATAGATGGAGTGTTTGTGTGAACTAATATAAATTCAAAGTAAACATCATTACATAAAAGGGTACGGTCTTTTTTTTTTTTTAGTTTTATTCATTTCAAATGGGCCGGATCCGGCCCGCGGGCCGTAGTTTGCCCACGGCTGGGCTAGACTGTCTGGCATCAGTCGGACCTCGAGGGCGGCTTTCTCTCAGAGGTGCTTGCAGCACGGGACACTGAGAAGCGAACCTCTTAGGGCAGGACTGAGGAGCAGCCATAGCTGCTTGCTCCACCCTGTTGATCCCCTGAGACCCCGCCCCGCCCAAGCTGTGCACTGCTTTTGCATATGAAAGGCCTGGCCCTTTGCAATCTGACAATTACCTAACAAACTGCAGCTGGCCCAAAGCCCCACAGCAGCTTGTATGCCTTCACAGCTGAGCTCCTGCTGGGTAGCCTCAGGCAGAGGCTAAATTAGCACCTCTTTAGAGATCCCAGAGCCAGTGTACTCAGTTGTCAGAGTGGGACCATCCAGATTACAACTCCTCAGATCCATAAGGCACACTCAGGGGGCAGACTCAGTGAGCACCAAAGCCCCACTGAAGCAAGTCTTGCCCTAGAAGGGTGTCTCCAGCATAGAAGTTCTCCCACCGTAAACACAGCTGATTCTCACAGCCAATTGGCCTGGAGGTCAATTCCTCCCAGTGATACCTACAACAGCCAAGGCTTAACTACAACAAGACTGTGCACAAAGCCCACAAGGGAGTGCACCAAGAGTGTCCACCTCAGGTAACTGGGGAGGCTGAGCCATTGGGCCCTATAGGACACCTAGCACAGAAAGCCACTCTATCAACACAGGGAAACATAAAAAATGCAGAGACAAAGAAACAGGTCACAAATGACAGAAATGGAGGAAAGCAAACTATTGGATATAGAGTTCAAAACCACGGTTATAAGGTTTTTCAAGAATTTTCTAGAAACCGCCGATAAACTTAGTGAGACACTCAAGAAATCTAGTGAGACCGCCGATAAATTTAATGAGATCCTCAATAAGTCTAGTGAGACCCTTGAGGTTGTGAAAAAGGACCAACTAGAAATTAAGCATACACTGACTGAAATAAAGAATATTATACAGACTTCCAACAGCAGACTAGAGGATCACAAGAATCAAGTCAAAGATCTGAAATACGAAGAAGCAAAAAACACCCAACCGGAAAAGAAAAAAGAAAAAAGAATCTGCCGAAACCGGTTTGGCTCAGTGGATAGAGCGTCGGCCTGTGGACTGAAAGGTCCCAGGTTCGATTCCGGTCAAGGGCATGTACCTGGGTTGCAGGCACATCCCCAGTAGGAGATGTGCAGGAGGCAGCTGATGGATGTTTCTCTCTCATCGATGTTTCTAACTCTCTATCTCTCTCCCTTCCTCATATTAAAAAAAAAAAAAAAAGAATCCAAAAATATGGAGATAGTGTAAGGAGCCTTTGGGACAACTTCAAGCGTACCAACATCCGAATTATGGGGGTGCCAGAAGAAGAGAGAGAGCAAGATATTGAAAACCTATTTGAAGAAATAATGACAGAAAACTTCCCCTACCTGGTGAAAGAAATAGACTTCCAAGTCCATGAAGCGCAGAGAACCCCAAACAAAAGGAATCCAAAGAGGACCACACCAAGACACATCATAATTAAAATGCCAAGAGCAAAAGACAGAATCTTAAAAGCAGCAAGAGAAAAACAGTCAGTTACCTACAAGGGAGTACCCATACGACTGTCAGCTGACTTCTCAACAGAAACTTTGCAGGCCAGAAGGGAGTGGCAAGAAATATTCAAAGTGATGAATACCAAGAACCTACAACTAAGATTACTTTATCCAGCAAAGCTGTCATTTAGAATTGAAAGTCAAATAAAGAGCTTCAGAGATAAGGAAAAGCGAAAGGAGTTCATCACCACCAAACCAGTATTGAATGAAATGGTGAAAGGTATCCTTTAAGAAGAAGAAAAAGAAGAAAAAGGTAAAGATACAAATTATGAACAACAAATACACATCTATCAACAAGTGAATCTAAAAATCAAGTGAATAAATAATCTGATGAACAAAATGAACTGTTGAGTATAATAGAATCAGGGGCATAGAAAGGGAGTGGACTGACTATTCTTCTGGGGGGAGAAAGGGTGTGGGGGATGCGGGAAGAGACTGGACAAAAATCGTGCACCTATGGATTAGGACAGTGGGGGGGGGGTGGTAAGGGCAGAGGGTGGGGTGGGAACCAGGTGGAGGGGAGCTATGGGGGAAAAAAGAGGAACAACTATAATCTGAATAATAAAGATTTAATTTTTTAAAAAAGTGTATAGCTAAGTCCCAGCTCGTGATAAACACTTGTGACCTCTACACTACCTCTTGGGCTGTGAGGATTTTTCTGGGTGCTGTAGATGGTGTGAGACAGGGACTTTGGTTAGTGGTTTTTGTTTGCAAAGTATCTCTGAAAGGTACCGGAAATCTTCATCTAATCAGTCTGCTACATGCTCAGAGGCCTACTTCAAGTGTGCTGTGTTTGTTTAGGAATCATTTTTGTATTTTACTATTTTTGGGTATTGATGTTTACCAGAGGATTTGTCTCTTCAGTGGTCAGTAGGGTTGAAGTATATGTTATAAAGGAGATTTCATGTTTCCTAAAATGCTTATGTCATATAGCCTATTTAATTTTTTTCTTCTTTTTTTTCCCCCAGAAAATTTGGTGAGCGGCCTCCACCTAAACGACTCACTAGGTAAGCATTATATTGGTCAGCCTTTCAATAAAACATTTCATACAAGTGTTAGAGCCTGTCATTTTCAAAACTATATTAGGTGATCTTGAAAAGAAGTTATTGATATATTGGTATCTAGATTATAATCTTAGTCCCATCCTCTCTATCCTACATCCCCTTTCCCCCCATAGAAATATCAGGATAAGAGGATACATTTCAAAGGGGAAAGTAAGCCTTTGAATATAATCTTGGGTGTCATAGTTAATATCACAAGGGCTACAGTGTAAAAAATAGTTTTCTATATCTGGCTGCATTTAACCAGTCACAATTTGTTGATTATACATGGGACTTGAAAGATACTTAATACATCCTTTTAGAAAAGAATTTTACAGAAAACACAAGATTTTACCCATTTTAATGAGTCTGTAAATATACTGTGTTCCAATGATATAAATTAATTTTATAAGATTTTAATTGCAAATGTTAAATTTAAAAGTATTAATCTTGAAAATGATTTTAAAAATTTCCAACAGTCGATGGTTGTAAATAAAATGTAAGACATTCACTTCCACAGTTTTAGTCCTAGAGTTAATGCTAACCCTGCATTGTTAGTATGTTCCAACTTTAATTATAAGCACATATAAACATATGCCTGTATTTCTTCTTCTTCTTTTTAAAGTCTGACATTATACTTGACTATTGTTCTGTATATATATATATATATATCTTCTACTTCATTCTCTACATTGTCTTCACACTGCTTTTGTTTTATTTTTACATTAATGGCCATTTGGATAATTTCCACATTATTGTTATTACTTAAAAGCTGTTGCACTCAAAGAATGATGGAGACATGCCAGAAGATTTCCAAGGGAGCCAACTTGAAGAGGCTTCCTTTTAGCCAAATCATGGGCACTTTGATCACCAAGATAAATTATAGGAATGGATTACAATCCATATAATAAAATGATAGTTAAGAAGCCTACACTGAGTTAAAAAATGATTCAGTAAATGAAACAGAGGAGATAGCTTTTCCTTACAGAAGAATTTTACCTAATAAAAGTAGAAGGAATGCCTGAACTAGGAAATCACACTTTGGCAACCACTACAGTAATTGTTTCAGGCATAAATCATCAATGAATGCTTAAACTATTGGTTTAAAATCTCATGAGAAACAAAGTATTCACATAGTCTCTAAGTGTGTCCTCACAAGTATGTATTATTTATAAAGCGAAAAATAATAATGTCAACGAAGAAACCTGGCAGACACCACCTTAATGAAGTCATCTAAATACCAACAATAGGACAAATAAATGTTATGTGCATCCTGAGAAGGACATAATCTTACCTTTGTGCTGTTATTGCAAAAATGTGTAAATGTCTAAATGTAAGCATAAGAAAACATCAGACATGCAAATAAGGGGCATTCTATAAAATAAATGGCATTTACTCTTCTAATTTTTCAAGAGCATAACAAACAAAGACTGAGGAATACCTCATTAAAGAAGACTAACAAGACATGAAAACTAAATTTAACTAAATCTTCGGCCAGGAAAAAATTTTTATTTTGATCTAAAGCTAGAGAGTTGGCAAACATTTTCTGTTAACGGGCCAGATAACAAACATTTTAGGCTTTTTGAGCCACACCGAGTCTGTTGTGACTTCTCAACTCTCTTCTTATATCCCCAAATAAGCCACAGAAAACATGTAAATGAATGGCATGTCTGTTCCAGCTCAACTTAATTTTGAGAAACTGGAGGCCATCCTGATTTGGCCTGAGGGCAGTAGTTTCTCAACACTGTCCCCCCTCTCCCCTTAGTAAAGGACATTAGTGGGACAGTGGCAGCATGTGAATAAAATCTATAGATACAAATATTGTATCCGTGGTATTGCATTGTGATTGTATAAGAGAGTGCCTTTGTTTTAAGAAATAAACACTAAAGTATTTTGAGTAAAGGGATGACATGTCTACAGTGTGCTCTTGAATGGTTTTAAAACATCGTATACAAACATGGTAAAATGTTTGGGGGAAAAGGGACTAGGAATTCTTTGTACTACTTTTACAACTTTTCTATAATTCTGAAATTACATTAATCAACATTAAAAAACTTTTAAAAAGGCATTACATAAATATTCCACATGAAGTGGGATAGGAAAATATAACTTGTCTCACAGGTTCATGTAAATATATTTTCAGTTACTTATTGTTACATATTTTGAAGAAATACTCAGTGGAATTGTTGAATTCACATGTATAGATAATTTAAAAATTGATTGATAAATATTTTTATTTCATTACCAGCAGCAGTAGGTTGGGGTAACAATAAAATATATTTTGATGGATAAATTAGTTACTTAATTGGATACCCTGTAAAAATAGTAATCAATACTATGATGATAAACATGAGGAAAAATTTCTTTCCTTAAATACATAAAATAATATAGTTAGGTCCCATCTACTTTATCATGATTTTCCATTTACCCTTTAAGCAATTTTCCCTGTTTGGAAAATTTTAGTAGCTTTTAGGACTTCTAATTCTGGCCAAGATGGAGTAACAGGGACTGGAATTACTCTCCGGCCTGAAACAACTAAAAACCCGGACAAAATTTATGAAACAGCGGTTTTCAAGATATTGGACAGCAGGCAAGAAAGGACAGGTGATCCCTGAGAGACAGGAGGCAAATGAGGTGAGCTCTACAATTGCTCCAGCTTAGTGCCTGGGGAGAGTTTCCACGTCCTGATTAGGGAGGGGGCATCCAGGTGGAGCCTAGTAAGCACCTTGAGTTGAGATGGAGCTGGGACTCTAAGGAGGCCATGATGGCTAGAGTTTCCAGGGCAGAGAACTGGAGAGGAAAGTGCTGTGCAGAGTTCCAGAGATCTGCAGAGGGTTCCCTCTATCTTCAGTTGAGTATAGATCAGCACGTGTGTGTGAGGAGACTACCCAAGGTTGGGGGGAAACCAACCTAAAGAATTAGAAGGAAGAATTCCTAAAGCTCAGTCACTACAACAAATAGGACCTGTTCCCAGAAACCAGTGTGGAAAAATCTTAAAATTCACATGCATCAACTAGAGTACTCGGGAGGGTTTGCTTCCATAGTGCTGCAAAATTAGGCCTAGACTACATGTTGCTCTGGTTTTACCTAACAACTTAAAAACAAGATTGAAAGAATCACACTCTTTCCAAGTAACTTAACTGTGCATCAGAACAAAGCTCAAGAATATTTACAGGAATAGACAAATACCCAGCACTCAAAAAGGTAAAATTGATTGAGTCAAAACGTATCAGTCATACAAAGAGCAAGCAAAATATGACCATAATGAGGAGAAAAACCAGTCAAAACCAACCCAGAAATGACACAGATAATAGAATTAGAGGCAATAAAACAGTTATATTTGTCTTCTAATATAGATCAGGAATTTACAGTTTTTCTTGAAAGGGTCAGATGGTCGATAGTTTAGTTTTATGTGGCCCATACAGCCTCTGTTGTAACTATTCAACTCTGTTGTAGCATAAAAGGAGACATGGATAATGTGTATACTAGTGGATATGTCTGTATATTGGGGTACAATTTTTTATTTCTAAAACAGGCAGTGGGTCGAATTTGACCCACAGGCTTTAACTGTGCATCCCTGAGCTAGAGGAGAGATTGAATGAGTTAAATAGAGGACATGGAAGATCCAAATCAAATTTTTAGAGACGAAAACTGCAGTACTAAAGATGAAAAGATAAAATTTCTGGGATTAATTTGCAGATTTGCACTGCTGATGAAGAGATTGGTGAACCTGATAACAGCAATAGAAACTATCCAAAATGAAAAAAAGTCTGAACAAAAAAGATCCTTAGTGAGCTGTGGTTTATGTTCAAGTAGATAAAATACATGTAATTAGAGTCATTGAAGGGGGGAAGGGTATGGCTAAAAGAATATGTGAAAAAATAATGTCTGAAATTTTTCTAAATTTGATAAACTATAGTTTCAAGAAACTCAGCCCCAAGTACAAAGTGCTGAAGGACATCATAATTAAATTGCTTAAAGATGGTGATAAAGAGAAAATATTAAAAGCAATAGAGATAAAAGATAAATTACGTACAGAGGAACAAAGATAAAGATTATGGGATTTTTCATCTGAAACCTTGCTAGATAGAAAGAAGACAGTGGAGCAAGACAGTTTTCCCAAGGAGGGGAAACATAGCAACCTAGGATTCTATACCCAGCACAGGCAAAATTAAGACTTTTAGACATAAAAACTGAAAAATAGTTCATCACAAACAGGCATGAGCTGCAAGAAATGTTAAAGAACTCTAAGCAGAACAATCATACCAGATAGAGATCTGATTATTTACAAATTACTACTGTCAAAAATGAGAAAGATGACATCATTGCAAATTCTACAAATATTTAAAGAATAACAAGCAAATATGAATAACTTTCTGCCAGTAAATTTAGCTTTTGAAGAAGCAAAAATTCCTTGAAACCAGCAAACTACTAAAGCTTTCTCAAAAAGAAACTTATAGCCTGAATAGCATTATAGTTAAAGAAATTGAATTTCTAGTTATATATCTTCCCACAAAGAAAACTACAGGCTCAGGTAATCTCACTATTAAATTCTACCAGACATTTAAGAAATTAATTATGCCAGTTCTATACATACCATTCCAGAAAATTGGAGAGCAGAACATACTTTCCAATTCATTCTGCAAGGACGGTATTGCCATGTTACTAAAAGCAAAGACATTACAAGAAAATAAAACTATAGACCAGTATTCCTTATGAACATAAAAGCAAAAAGTCTTAACGAATTTTTAAAGTGAAACCAACAATATGTAGAAGGGACAATATATTATGACCTAAGTGAGATCTTTTCACATATATCACTTTTCAAGTTTCATGTTAGGAACTGGACATCTGTGCCTTCTGGCTTTTATTGTTTGTTCTTATTCCACACTGAACTCTATAGTTAGCCACCTGACTTAGCAACACTCAAATCTCTTACCATTGTTATCCTTCCCAGGCTGCACCTCTTCTTGTTCGGTACCCAACAGGTTCGAGAATATGCTCTCTCTGTTCCCACCCTTGGGAGTGTTCGTGTGAATTTGCACCATCATTTATGGATTCCAACATTGGCTGATCCTTTGATACTGACATTCAGTCGTTTTACCTTCCATAGTCAGCTTCTTTCTTAGAGGGTATTTACAAATAGACATCACGGTGGCCTCTCTGATTTTATAAATAACATGTAAGGCTTTCTGTTAGCTGGCATTTGTTAGACTTCTTGCTATAAGTGACTTTGACCTCTGCAGCATCTCACCTTTTGATTGTTCTCTTTCTTTCGAGATTGTATGCTTCCATAGCATCTAGTAAACAGTTTCAGTTCTGCCCTTTACCAGTTGTTCTCCATTTATTTTATTCATTTTGTTGTTCTTGGCTCATCTGTCACTGTTCGAGAATATGCTTTCTCTGTTTCCACCCTTGGGAGGGTTTGTGGAATTTGCACCATCATTTATGGATTCCAACATTAGCTGATCCTTTAATACTGACATTCAGTCGTTTTATCTTCCATAGTCAGTTCTTCCCTCCTCTTTTTTTCATTCTGGGAGATTTCATTCACTTCTGTGGCTTCATTTGCCAACGATATACCAGTAAAACCCACTTTTGCAGCCCAGACCCCTCTCTGGAAGTACAGGTATTTCCAACAACCTATTGAATACTTCCAGCATGGAGGTCTGGGGCGCTTCAGTGTTGACATGTCAGCTTCTTAATATATATCCACTTCTCCCCAAACAAAAGATATAAAGAGTTGTTAAGTCTTTTCTATCTTCTCTACTACCTCCTCTTGCTTCTTTCTTAGTATATGAGCCTTTTTTCAAGTGTGTCTTGTCTCTCTGTTCTCTAATCTTTTCTCTATTCCACCACTAGAATTAACTAAGAAGGAAAATTAATTGTTTAAAAATCCTCAAGATCATTTAATTGCCTTTTGTGTAGATTGAAAAATCCAAGTTCCACACATGGTGTTTTCTACAATGGGGTAAAGATAAAAAAGTAAATGATCTTTTCTCAATTTTCAACGAGATTTTTTGTGTGTATTTTTTAAATATTTTAAGTATTTCTCTAGGTGTTTTAAAAAATTTATTAACTGCTACCATTTTGATTCTCATCTATCAGAGTGATATTTGAATTAGCTTAAACTTTTATACTGAGTATTTAAGTTACAAATGTCAGATTTCATGGGATTTGGCAGGCCTTTCACAATTTGACTCCCAACTTGTCAGCTTTATTCATGGCCATGGCTTACGTTAGTATCTTAACAAGAGAATTTGAGATTCTAATTTCTGACTCTCACTTGTTAATTGCAAGACATTGGGCAAGACACACATACCCTTTTGGATTTTGAGGATTACATGAAATGATGCATTTAAGTGTTAAGCTAAGCACCTGACACTTAGTAAACACTCAAGGAATGTTGCTGCTGTTTTGTTGTCTTGGCTGCTTTGTTCCTCAGCTTGATTATCTCACTGTACTCAAATGTGCAGGGTTGGTCGTGACCTTTTCCATACTACTCCCAGACCCTGGGATGCCTTACTTGTTCTGTCTACTCCTGTTACTTCAGAGATGACCTCTTCTAAGAAGTTTTCCTAGCATGTAGTCCTTTATCACCCCTCCCCTCCTTTACATAGACATTCCCCTACTGATCATACCTCTTTGGATCATGTATTTCATTACAATTTGTTTTCTGAGCTGTTGTCTTCACTGAACTTTAAAGCCCCTTTTAAGGGATAGGGATTAATTCTCAATATATTGGACCATTGTTACCTGCCCGGTCTTGCAGCTAACAGGTTTTCAGTTAGTAAACATAAATACTGTCTTCTAGATTATCTCCTTTAAACCCCTCAACCACTTTGTGTTAGATTAGCAATATCATCTGTTATTATCAGATAGGAAACTGAGTCTGGATGAGGTTAAATGATTTGCCCCAGGCCACATAGTTTCTCTAAGTGCTACAAGTCTAGAATTCCCCACATTTGTACTACTATTGTGTAGCTATCCTAATACATTTGTCTTTTATTTATAACTAGAGGCCTGGTGCATGAAAATTCATGCACTGGATGGGGGGGTGGGTCCCTCAGCCTGGCCTGCTCATAGTCTGGGAGCCCTCAGAGGCGGGAGGCGACCGGCCATCAGGGGAAGTCGACGCCCCATCACACCTCTGCTGCTGCCACTGCCAGCAGCACAAGCCTTGGCCGGCCCTGGTTACCTGAGCCTTGGGTGGCCCTGGGCGGCTGAGCAGCTGCCATCCAAGGCTTGCCTGTGCTTCGGGCCTGCCCTAGGCGGCTGAGCAGCCAACATCTGAGGCTTGCCTGTGCCTTGGGCCGGCCGTAGGTGGCTGGGCAGCTGACATCTGAGGTTTGCCTGCACCTCGGGCTGGCCCTGGGTGGCTGGGGGGCTGAGGGCGGGTCCAGCCACACCTACTCCTCCCCACACCCTGCAGGGCTGAAAGGACTGGGGGACTCTGGCAGGGCTGAGGGGACTCGGCGCCACCATCTTGTGGCTGTGGGTGCTGCCATCTTTGTGACGGTGTGATGGTCAATTTGCATATTACCACTTTATTAGATAGGATACTAGAAGATAGAATTTCTATTAGATAGATGCTATTAGATAGAATTTCATGGTGCATGAAATTCGTGCATGGGGGGCATGTCCCTCAGCCCAGCCTGCACCCACTCCAATCTGGGACCCCTCAGGATGTCCAACTGCAGGATCGGGCCTAAACCGGCAGTCGGACATCCCTCTCACAATTCGGGACTGCTGGCTCCTAACCCCTCTCCTGCCTGCCTGCCTGATTGCCCCTAACTGCCTCTGCCTGCCGGCCTCATCACCCCTAACTGCCTCTGCCTGTCGGTCTCATCACCCCCTAACCGCTCCCCTGCCAGCCTCAACGCCCCAACTGCCCTCCCCTGCCGGCCTGATCGCCCCCTAACTGCCCTCCCCAGCCAGCCTGATCGCCCCCTAACTGCCCTCCCCTGCTGGCCTGATCGCCCCCTAACTGCCCTCCCCTGCCGGCCTGATCGCCCCCTAACTGCCCTCCCCTGCCGGCCTGATCGCCCCCTAACTGCCCTCCCCTGCTGGCCTGTTCATCCTTTAACTGCTTGCTCCCCTACGCCGGCCTGATCTCACCCCCAACTGCTTGCTCCCTTGTGCTGGCCTGATCTTGCACCTACCTACTTGCTCCCTTGTGCTGGCTTGATCTCACCCCTAACTGCTTTTTCCCCCGCCGGCCTGATCACCCCTAACTGCTTGCCACCCTGCCGGCCTGATTGCCCCTAACTGCCTCTGCCTCGGCCCCCGCCACCCTGGCTTTGTCCTGAAGGAAGTCGGATGTCCAGAAGATGTCCGGCCCACCCAGTCTAATTAGCATAATACCCTTTTATTAGTATAGATAAGTAAAATAGCATTTAACTTATTAAAACTGTTTCCTGATTATTATCTTTGAAACAACTTTGCTTTACTTTTGCATTGTGTGCAGATGTCCAGAATTGGGATTCTGCTGATTCATGGTTATAAATTTGATCTAATGTTCTTTATACTGCTTAGCAAAATAATTGAATAAATAAATATATTTAACACATGGAAATTTTTATATAATTTATACATAATAAATAGGTAGTTGGAGTGCTTTGTACTTGAAAATATTAACTTTTCCCCCCAAAATTTATTCAGTAACTGTGTGTTTATATGTACATGAGATATCCCTTTTTTAGTCTTTATGTAAGGCTTGTTATTTTAAGAACATAATAACAACTTTGGATGACCTAATGATTTGTTATGGCTTTGTATTCACTGAGAAACACTCATTCTAATAAGTAGATAATTAAATACAAAGTATTGCATGTCATTAAGTTTATGAACAATTTAAAGCCAAATTTAGCAATGTACATAGTGATTCTGGAATTGTAATTGTGGTTTAGCTCAGTTACATCATAAATTCCAAGAATGAAAGACAGTTTCTTCTTTTAAAGAAAAAAGTATAAAGTTGAAGATGAGCAGTATTTATTGCCCCATTGTATAATGGGCTTTAAATTTAGTTCATGAGTTTGTTTTGTCTTAATGTTTTTGCTTTTAGATTTGCTTGTTTAAAATATACTCACCAGCATTTTTCTCATTACAGAGCTTAGTAATATTTTAAACCTCACCCCTGTAATAGTAATATTTGTGTTTTATTTTAGGGAAGCAATGCGGAATTATTTAAAAGAGCGAGGGGATCAAACAGTACTTATTCTTCACGCAAAAGTTGCACAGAAGTCATATGGAAATGAAAAAAGGTAAGATTATTATTTTCTGGTGGGTAGTTCATTGTAGCTGTCACATGAATTTGCAAATGATGTGTTAATATGCAAAAATTGTTTCTCGGGTTATTTGCAAGTACAAAATGAAAAGTAGGGATTTGTCTCTATTGAAGGAGAAACAAAGTGAGTTATGGCAGATTTAGTCGAGATCATCTGGTTGAATCCCTGATAATTACAAACTGTAATCTATAATTTTTCTTTGGGGCTTCACGATGTTCTATTTCTGGGATATATTAGCTTGTTCAAAAAAGTAGCTTTCCTTTTGGTGGTAAATGTAGTTTTATAAATAAACTAGAGGCCTGGTGCATGGATTTGTGCACCAGTGGGGTCCCTCGGCCTGCCCTGCGGGGATCGGGCTGAAACCGGCCCGGTACACAGATTCGTCCAGGGCGTGTCCGGCCAATCTCGCCCAGTCCTGATTGGGGCCAATCGGTCAGTGCTGGCTGGCCAAGGCAGGCCTGCGGTAGATTGGCCAGCTGGGGAGGGACCACAGGAGGGCTCCAGGGCCCCAGCAGTAAACTAACCTACTGGTCGGAGCATCTGCCCCCTGGTGGTCAGTGCACGTCATAGTGACTGAACAGTCGAACGAACGGTCGGACACTTATTAGGCTTTTATTATATAGGATTATTATTTAGGATGTGACCCTCAGTACCATTTTTTTAAAATATATTTTTATTGATTTCAGAGACGAAGGGAGAGGGAGTGATAGAAACATCAATGATGAGAGTGAATCATTGATCGGCTGCCTCCTGCATGCCCCCCACTGGGATTGAGCCTGCAACCCGGCATGTGCCCTTTACTGGAATCGAATCAGGCACCCTTCAGTCTGCAGACTGACGCTCTATCCACTGCACCAAACCAGCCAGGGCCTGAGTACCATTTTAAAAAGGAAAAGACTAAACAAACCCCTGAATTGAACTATGGAGTGATTATAAAGAAAAGAGCCCCCAGTCCTCTCCACCTTGCCCCTGTGCCTGTTCAGATGAAGGAAAAACAGCTCTGGCCAGTGTTGTTCAGTTGGTTGGTTGGGCATTGTCCCTTCTACCAAAAGGTTGCCAGTTTGATCCAGTCAGAGCACATATCCCTGTTGCAGCCAGATCCCTGGCTGGGGGCATGCAGGAGGCAGCTGATTGATGTTTCTCTCTCTCTTTTCCTTCCTCCCTCCCTCCCTCTCCCTCTCATTTCCTCTCTTTATAAAAAAAACAAAGAAATAAAAAATCTTAAAAAAAAGGAAAAACAACAAAGTTGAGTTAGTACTACGTAAATGTTGGTACTACAAAAATGGCTTATAAGTAAGATTGGCCAAAATTAAGTTACAACAAAGTGATCTTTATGTTTAGTACTTGTCACAGTATTTTATAAATTTCAGTATTTATGATGTATGATTGTGGACTTTGGTTGTTTGTTTTTTCACTTTATTCCTAGAATTTTCTTGTTAATAGTTTCTCTAGTCTTGTCTTTCAGACAGCATTTTTAAATTAAGCATTTCATGGACGAAAGGCTTGCTTATGGGGGAAGATGAAAGATTTTTTGAATTGGCTAGAAAGATATGAAACTAAAGTGGGAAAAGGAATGAAAACTCAGGTTTGGATGTTGGGTTGAAAGGAAGGGTGGAATCATAGATAAAGAAAATCTTAACATACGTATAAGAAGTGAATGTAAGTATATAATTAAATTAATTTACATGCTGGAAGAAAATTAAGGAGTCTCTTCCTTAAAGTTCTCTAAATCTGAGCTGAAAAGTAGGTGAAGCTATTTAATGATAATTTTGTCCTCAAAGAGGATGAACAAGTGAAAATAGTATTTAGGACTCATACTGCGAAGTGTTCTTGTATATCATCATTCAAGCTTGCTAAATTTCTGATTATTTTATCTTTCTTTACTAGTAGAACTAATCATCTGATTTACAGTAAATATTGGAAAAAGTTGGTATCTGCAGTTTGGGACATAAAGACCAAAGCAAGATAGTGGCTCCTTTTTTTATGAAGTTGTACTCGAAATTCAGAGAGAGAGATAGAGAATTTAAATTGAGTGTGAGCATAGCCGATCATCTGCTTTTTGGGTTTGGTGTTTTCTCTTTTTTTCTTTTTGCTTTTGGTTTGATTTTTCCTAAGCAAAACCTAGCAAGGCAATACCTTCATTATTTGAGATGAATCTCAAATTAGGCCAGTCTTGCACCTCACAATGAATCTCAGGAAGAAACAGTTTCCCAGTCTTGAGCCAGACATTGTTTTGGAAGTGCATTTACAAGTGTTTTTAAATTTTAATTCTCAGAATAGTCTTATAAATAGGTATATTATAATCCCCATTCTGTGAGTGAGTAAACTAGAAATCAAATACCAGGTTCACTTTGGAAATCCATGTAGCCAGGATTAGAACTCCTGGGTCTATAATTCCAAATGTCTCACTCTTTTTATTGCCCTAATTTCCATAGCCTTCCAGTTTGTGTTTGAGTGTTGGTTATTTACAACAGGGCTTGAGGATGAGGTTAAGATACCTAAAGACATCCATTTTGTAAATAAACTTTGCCTAGGATTATTCCTTTTACCATCAGCTGAGTGAGGCTGGGCTAGATCTAATGGAAATAAGATTAGACATATTTACTGTGTGGATACCAATTCAGGCAGTGCTGCTTTCCTTTCTCTGGATTTTTGAAGGTGCATTTTAGTACGATTGGATTCATTCACTCATTTCTTTATTTTTGATGACCTGTTAGGTGCCAGGTACTATGCAAAAGGATCTTTAGTGAGAATTTTAAAAGTTAGGATGTCATTTAATGCTATGATGGATAACAGGCCTAGTGGCAATAACAGAAGGGCAGAGCTACTCAAAAAATTACATCTAAGTCCAGATAACGTCCCTGTTTATTAGTCACTGTTAAAAGTATATGAGTAACAAGTTGTAGTGGCTTATCAAGTTAAAATCTTGATTTAAGGGTTATTTATTTTTATTGTGGTTGCCTTTATTTCCTATTATTTGGATATGGCCTCACCAATCTAAAACACCACTCAAAGGAAAGCTTGAAGAGCCTAAGCTTCTAGCCTCCAAAGAATGAAGGGAAAATGATGAAAAGACCTAGAGTAACTACTTTCCTATATTTTTACATGTTTGTACTAATGTTTCTTGAGTGGACATGTATTAGTTTTACAATAAAGGTGGAAACCAGTTAAAATTACTTTTTTTTTTTTAAAGTATTCATAGTAAGAAAACATTCATGCAGTCCAGCCTTCCTGGAAGAGGTCTGGTCCCTTACTCATTGAGAAGAGTGCACAGTGGGAAGAGGAAGATGTGCCTTCTTGCTTGTTGATCTAGATTTGGGCTTTTCTGAAAAGCTGCTAAGGCATAAAGCGTGAAATATCCTGGGGACATGACCACAGTCTCTTAGCATATAAAATAACTCGAGTGAAAGATGCTGGAAAAGTTTGGTCAGGAAATTCTTTAATTATAAATTGTTCAGACTAACTTTTGTGCCTGATAACAAAATTTGTTTGCTTAGCACATCTGGTATCCCATTTATGTTAGTAGTTAGTTTTACCTTTTCATGGGAGAAAGAAGAACTTTGCAAGTTGAAAAATAAACTTTTAAAGATTATTTTGTGTAGAGGATATTTTCCATTAAAGAAATGGGGATGCCATTTGATATTAACATTCCTTCAACTTTGTCAAGCAAAGTACTTAAGCAGTAATGAAGGTGATGGTGATGCTGTTGAGGCAGTAAAGCCATTTAGATAGAGTAGGACTCTGAAGTCATACTGAGAATGTGTTCATTGAGATAACTATGGCATGCAGACAGTTCCAAGGTGTTTTTTGTTTTGTTTGTTGCTTTTGAATTGAATAGTCACCAAAGGGTAATGATTCTGCAAAGGTGATCAGATAATGTAAATTATGTGCTTGGGTTTCATCTAACCTAACTTATTTTAAATACTGGGCTGAATAAAAAGACTTCTTTGAATCTGTAAGGTATTTTTCAGATCTTATTTCAGGATATAAGAGAAAAGTTGTTGAATCATTCTCTGAAGATGAAAATGGATTGAACTAGAAAATGAGTAAAATCATAAATGTGTTTATATCGCCACCAAGTGGCATAAAAAAGCAATGTTTGTCATAGGTGCTTAGAGCTACTGGGAAAGATTAGAAAATAAAGGCACATTGTTTCATAGAATATCCTTTCACAGCAGCTGTTAAACTCTGTTAGCTGGCCTCCTGATGGTCGAACTTTTTACTCGCTGAGTTTTTGGTATACATTAACAATCTATTCAAATTTTAAAAATGTATTTCACACCTCATTAGAAAGGTGTGTTTTAATCGTTAATTAGGGTCCCTCCCCCCACATCACCATTCCTTTAAATTCTACCCTCTTTTTGGTGCATAAACTTATCTTCTATTTTATTATGTTACTACTGAAGTTGTGGAAATGAAAGTTTGATTCATTAGCTGTTTTTAGGAGGTGTAATATTAGGATATTTTAAATATTTTTAAAATGACATCACATTTTAGAAATCTCTTTCGATTATATTGGATTTGCTGTTTTCACAATATTTTGGGATAGTTGTAGAGTTGGTTAAAAAAACAAGGCTAGCTCAAAGGCAGTTAAGAGTCTTTTTCTGTTTGTTTATTACGATTGAAAAAGCACTTTCAGTAAAGAACCTTGGTCAGTGCTTTGGGTGATAAAGAATGTCTTGCCTCCTGTCATTTTTTAGTTTCATGCCCTTTTATCACAGGACTTTTGAGAGAATCAGTACTACCTAGTCTTTTACAGGTTTTGCCCTCTTTATATTTTTCAGATGGGGAATATAAGTACTTTTTATGAAAACTTAATGGGATTTGACTACTATATTTGGTATGCTATACTAAAGCACAACGCTTTGAATTTTATAGCGGGTATACCAGTTTACTAAGAAGTCTTAACATTAATGTTCAGTAAAATACTAATAGGAGACGAGTTTCCAAAATTGATATTCCTGAGAGTATGTATGCCAGTTAGGTGTTTGAGTCTGTGCCATGGTAATCATTGGGCAGCTCTCAGCATTAGAGACCAGAGCGATTCCTGATGTGGACTCGAGTTGAGCCAACTCCAGAACTAGCCCAGCTAATTCAGGAATCCCTCTGACCTTGGAGTGACCTGGAGCTGAGCCCACTGCCTCGCCTGTGACCTCTGTGTCCACTGTGAAAGTGTGCAGGCATGAAAGTTGCTCTGATGGTTTAGATAAATATGAGGAAACTCCAGAGGCTTCCCTCCTTACTCAGCTTGACTCCTAAAGGCCTACTTGATCTACTTACCCTTTATCTTTGGCTTCATCTGTTGTTCTCTCCTCCTCTTCCCTACTCCAGCCACTTGGTCTGTTTGTCAGACACCCATGACTGTAGGTTGTGACTCAAAATCACCTTCCTACAGAAGCTTTCCCCAGCCACTGGTCTTCGACATTTTAACTACCCTCTTTCCTGCTTTTCTCAGTCTCTCTCTCTCTCTCTCTCTCTCAGTACTTATCACCAGCTAACAGACTATATACATTCTTTTACTCATTTACCTTTTTAAAAAATTGTTTGTCTCTCCTATTAGAATGAGAGGTGCATCAGGACAGAAATTTTTGTCCTTTATTTTGAAACTACTATTTTTGCAGCACCTGGTACAATAAATAATTTGGTGAATTAACATTATTAAATAAGCCCAGCTCACTTCTTGTATAATATGTAGATTGCCTCTAAGTAGTCTTTGAAAGTTGAGCAAAAAGAAGGTGCCATCATATAGATATATATCTTTTTAATACTATTTTTATTGATTTCAGAGAGGAAGGGAGAGGGCGAGAGATATAGAAACATCAACGATGAGAGAGAATCATTGATTGCCTCCTGCTCGGCCCCCACTGGGGATCGAGACCACAACCCAGGCATGTGCCCTTGACTAGAATCGAACCTGGGACCTTTAAATCTCCAGGCTGACGCTCTATCCACTGAGACAACTGGCTAGGATGCCATCATATATTTTTATTCAATCAATATTGTAATAGGTATTGAGAGGGGAGCAAACAAGAATGTAATATTACTACTGGTAGGAAGGCCTGAGCACCAAATCCAGTCTACAGTGTCTGTGTATGCATGTACACACGTATGCAGGTATACAGTTTTCTTAAGTCTGCATATTGTTGGCTTACAAAGCATCATTTAGTGGCCACGTTCTAAAATTTGATTTCAGGGATCTATTGAACAATTGAAGGATGTGACCAACACTAGGCCCATATACCTGTGTTCAGCAGTGTGATTGGTATATACTCACAGGCTTGCCATTCCCTATTGCAGTGATGGCGAACCTTTTGAGCTCGGCATGTCAGCATTTTGAAAAACCCTAACTTAACTCTGGTGCTGTGTCACATGTAGAAATTTTTTGATATTTGCAACCATAGTAAAACAAAGACATATTTTTGATATTTTATATATTTAAATGCCATTTAACAAAGAAAAATCAACCAAAAAAATGAGTTCGCGTGTCACCTCTGGCATGCGTGTCATAGGTTCGCCATCACTGCCCTATTGTCTTGTCATCAGAGCCACACACCAGTAGTTAATTATAATTGTATTTAAGCTCTTGTTTTTCTTACAGTGGTTTTGAATTAAGAAAAATTTCCTATACTCATAACTACAAAAAGTGGGAATTACCATGAGGGCTAGGTAGTTCAAGAAAGAAGGGAGGGATCCTCCCTCTTTGGGTAATTAAATGATATTTTTACTTACTTATTGTACACCTGGTTCACCATTTACATTACTTATTTGGCTACTATTTGAGTTTCGGGCCCCTTGATAATCATGGCATAAATGTTTTAAAGTATGTACAAGTAAAAATATGTAATTGAGCAAAAGCAAATTATAACCTACACTAGAGGCCTGGTGCACGAATTTGTGCATGGGTGGGGTCCGGCCAGCCAGCCCTGATCAGGGGCTATAGGGCTCGACTGGCTGCGGGGAGGGGCCGAGGGCGGTTAGCAGGCCGGCCCCAACCCCTGGTCGAACTCCCAGTCGAGACAATTTGCATATTAGCTTTTATTATATAGGATAAGAACTAGATTGATGATCTGAACTATGTAAAAGATGGGGCTTGAGCTAGGCTTTGAAATAGATATTTTTTTAATTGCCAAAGAGAAGATTATAAGGATGTTACTCTAGGTGGGAAGAATTTGTGAGGACAGGTTTTTGGCAACTAGTGAAACAAAGGTATTGGAAGTCTTGAGAGTTGAAAAGATACAGTGTATTATTCTTTCACTTGTCCACATGCACCAGGTGTTGTGGGTTTAAGATATATAAGGCATAATAATTCAGTGATCATCCACTTTACTTTTACTTCTACTAGTTTTATTGCTATTTTGAAAGTCTCTACTTTGGCCATTGTTCTAATTCTATTTTATAGGTTAATTATATGATACTAGAGGCCCGGTGCATGAAATTCCTGCACTGGGGGGTGGGGTTCCCTCAGCCCAGCCTGCCCCTCTCACAGTCTGGGAGCCCTCAGTGGATGTCCTACTGATGGCCACAGTCTGGCAGCAGAGGCTCGGAGCAGGCGTCCTGTGTGTGTGTGTGTGTGTGTGTGTGTGTGTGTGTCTGTGTGTGTCTGTCTGCTAGGGCCTGCCCCCAGCCGCGCCACGTAGGCTCGAAGCAGTTGCCGTGTGTGTGTGTGTGTGTGTGTGTCTGTGCTGGGGGCCTGCCCCCAGCCACACCATGGAGGCTTGGAGCAGGAGCCCCTCTGTGTTGATCTCTCAGGCTCCTGGCCTCCATTGCATGTTGTACTCTCCCTTGAGTTATGGCCAGGATAGGGGTGCTGCTTGCAAGCCGGGCTTTCCTGCTCCCGGATCGCCATGGCGACCAGGGAGCAGGCCCAGCTGGGGGCTGTCCACAGGCCGGGCTTTCCCGCTGCCAGGTTTCCATGGCAACCGGGGAGCAGGCCCAGCTTGGAGCTGCCCGCAGAGTGGGCTTGCTCTCCTGCTCCCGGATCCCCATGGCGACCGGGGAGCAGGCCCAGCTGGGGGCTGCCTGCAGGCCAGGCTTTCCTGCTCCCGTTTCAGGCCCAGCTTGGGGCTGCCCGCAGGCCAGGCTTGCTTTCCTGCTCCCGGATCACCATGGCGACTGGGGAGCAGGGAAAGTTTGGGGCTGCCCGCAGGCCGGGCTTGCTTTCCTGCTCCCGGATCAAGCGCAGCTAGGGGCTGCCCTCAGACCAGGCTTGCTTTCCTGCTCCCGGATCAGGCGCAGCTGGGGTCTGCCTACAGGCCGCACTTTTCTACTTAGCGATGGCCGGATCACCACAGCAACCTAGGGCTCAGTGGCACTTTTCTGCTCTCCAATAGTCATAGGGTCCCGGCTGGGGGCAGGGCTTAGCAGTGCGGGGCTTAGGCGGCACGGGGGTCCCAGCTGGAGGCTCAGGTGGCACACAGGGGTCCCGGCTGGGGGCAGGGCTTATGCCCCGCTGCCCAGGGCTGCACATGGGGCCCAGATGGCAGCTTGCGCTGTCCCGCCCTGCCTGTAGTATAGGATAGAGGCCTGGTGCACGGGTCGGGGCCGGCTGGTTTGCCCTGAAAGTGTCCCAGATCAGGGTGGGGGTCCCGCTTGGGTGCCTGGGCAGCCTGGATGACGGGCTGATGGCTGTTTGCAGCTGGTCACACCCCTTCAGGGTGGGGGTCCCCACTGGGGTGCTTGGCCAGTCTGGGTGAGGGCCTGAGAGCTGTTTTCAGGCTGGAGGGCAACTTAAGCTCCCAGCCTTTCTTTTTTTTCTTTTTTTTTTTATTCTGGGATTTATTTACCTTCTATAGCTGTCTCTGGAGCTGAGAGCCAGCTCCAGCTCTGAGGGCTGAAAGCAGGTTCTGGGTCTGTTTGGCTCCTATAATTGAAACTCCGTTGCCATCACTGCAGCTGTAAGCTCTGAGGCCGAAGCTGGCTGAAAGCAGGTCTCTGGAGCTTGTTTAGCTTCTATAATTGCAACATAGTTGCTTAGACTGCAGCTCAGAGCCGGGCTGCGGCATGCGGGGAACCTTGGCTTCCTCCATCGCTGGAGCAAGCAAGCCTCCTGTTTGCTTCAACTGCGTGGCTGCCGGCTGCCATCTTGGTTGGCAGTTAATTTGCATATCCTGCTGATTAGTCAATGGGAAGTGTGTCAGGGTTATGGTCAATTTGCATGTTTCTCTTTTATTAGATAGGATAGTTAGGTGTAATATCCATACCAATAATGTCATTAATTAATACTACCTCATTTTGAGACCTATTTAGTAATTGCAGATCCTGTGGTGTGGTGTATTGTGTTTTGTAATATGTTAGAGTACATTAGATTTGCTGAACTTTAATAGTTCAGAACTCTAAACTGAGTGCATCACTCTACACAGGTGAGTCTTACCTGAACAAATGTAGTCTTAGTGGAAGTTTTGCTTCTAGTATCCTCATGTGACTATTTGCATTATAAAGGGCTTCATTAGGAGCTAACTTAGTGCAGTTCAATATGATTTTTATATTCTTACTAAAGGCCCAATGCACAAAATTCGTGCAAGAGTAGGCCTTCCTCCCCCCACTGCCAGCACTGGCTTTTCTCCAGCACCCAGGCTTCCCTTGCAGAGGGAAGTCCCTCCCACGCACTGCAGCCCCCTGATCAGTGGCCTAGGCCTCCCTCTTTGGGATGATTGTGGAACTCCCCTGATTGATCACCCCGCTGGCTGGTGACCTGGGCCTCTCTCTGTGGGGCAGTCATGGGGTGATGGCCAGCCCCTGACCAATCACATCACACCCGCCTTGGCTGGCCTGGCACCAGTGGGTGTCATAGTGTGGTCCCGGATGGTTGTCCGGGTGGTTGTTCACTGTTTGGCTGTTCGGTCAATTTGCATATTGCACTTTTATTATATAGGATGTTCAGACAAGAAAATGCATTTTTAAAATTGAATTGCATTGTTTTTGTTCAAATTGTTTCAGGTTTTTTTGCCCACCTCCTTGTGTGTATCTTATGGGCAGCGGATGGAAGAAAAAAAAAGAACAAATGGAGCGGGATGGTTGTTCTGAACAAGAATCTCAACCATGTGCATTTATTGGAATAGGAAATAGTGACCAAGAAATGCAGCAGCTGAACTTGGAAGGAAAGGTAAATTAAAACTGTTGATTCCCCATAAAGGCACCATGTACCAGAATCTAGTAGTGTCCTTATTTGTTTTTGTGGTAGTGATTCGTTCCTCCTCCCCACCCCGTTCTTTATTGTATACCTGGTTCACCATATACATTATATTACTTATTTGGCTACTATTTGAGTTTTCAGGCCCCCTGATAAGACATGATATAAATGTTTTAAAGTATGTACAAGTCAGCTATTGGTAGCAATCTCTTTAAAATATAAATCAGAACCAGAAATAAACTTTTCAAATGGCTATGGTCTAGTCATGATTCATGGCACTCAAGCTGTTGATATCTAATGGTGGCACTCAGCTTGCCAGCAGCTTTAGCGGGCTGTGAATCAGGTTTCCATTGGAAGTAATAAGTTTAGGAGTCTAATCACTCATCTGAGAGGGGTGTGATGCTCAAATGATAAATGCATAGTTCAATAGTATTTTACTCTGCTCTTTTAATCTTAGTCTTATGCTAGAAGCAAAATGATAGAGATAAATTCTTAGAGGCATTGACTTGGGTTATAAAGATCATAAATGTTTTCCCTCACCTCTTTGTGGAGCAGAACTATGCTATAGGCAAGCACAGCCACGATTAGCTTTAGTCATACTTTTAGGGATTTTTAAAAATTAATTTTCTGGGAATGAAACGTATGAATTAGTTTTACTAATTTTATGTTATAAATTTAAAGAGCTGTCATTTCAATCTGTACCTTTGGTATTCAAAAATAATTCTTTATTGACTTAGCATTTAACATTTGTTTTCCCTTGATATTAAAATTTAAAAAAATGGTTAGTTCTGATCTTAGTGACCACATAAATGTCTTTTAAAATAATGCATAAAAAGCTAGTTTGTCATTTAATATATTTTTATTGAGTGCCTTAATTGGCCCTAGGAGGGGTTGGAGGGCAGATTGAGGGTGGTGAGCTAGGGGATTTGTACTCTCAAATTCAGTTTTAGCCCTTTTATAGAGAACTAGAGGCTCAGTGCACGAATTTGTGCATGGGTTCTCCCCCCCCCCCCCGCCCCCAACTGCCTGGCTGGCAATCAGGGCCAATCGGCTTGGGGGAGGGACTGCAGGAGGTTGCCTGGCCACAGGAGGTTGGCTGTGGGAGCGCACTGACCACCAGGGGGCAGCTCCTGCTTTGAGCATCTGCCCCCTGGTGGTCAGTGCATGTCATAGCAACTGTCGGAATGGTCGCTTAGGCTTTTATATATATAGTTGAGCAATAAGAAGCCTCAATATCAGTTTTTTTTTTCACATTTGAGTCTTTTTATGTCATTTATATCTTTGTAATTTTTATCAGCAAGACTTGTCAACTATGTATTTCAAGTTAGGTTTACGATAAAACTTATTACAATAAAGGTTGTTGTTTCATCTTAAAAGAAAATAAAGCAGTATAAAGTATTTCTAAGTTATGACCCTTGAGCCAAAGTTAAGGATATATGTAAGTGGTGAATTTATTTAATAGGCCTAAATGTCTTACCTATTTTCCTCATATAGAAAGTCAGAGTTCTATGACGCAAGTTGTATCTCAACATTTGGTACTGTTATTAATTAGGTTAGACAGGTAGATATTGAGATGCCAGGGATTCTAGAGACCAGTGTATATAACCGTGTTAATTATTGCTTGCTTTAACTAATTTCAGCTTCCAGCAATTGTAAGGGAAGTAATGCCAACCAAACAGCATTCCCACTCACCTTTCCCAGAATCATGCGTAGTACATCTTGCCTTAACTTCTACCATTATGTTCTTTCCCTACGCCCTAGAAATTCGCAGAAGAGGAAAAGAATGCCTGAGAGCTTAAGCATTATTAGCATTTAAAAAACTTACTAATAGGGTAGCACAATGCCTATATGCTGAAATTATATGTTAATATTTAGTTTGAATGGAAAATGCTATTAGAGAAGTCTATATAAAGTAAGACTTGTCAAGAGTCAGTAGAAGGCATTCCAGGCAGAAAGAAGGACATAATCATGTGCTTGGGGCATTAAGGCATGAGAACGTGGTATGTTTGGGCCCAAGTAGGCAAAGATGGCCTGAGCAGTGGGATGCTGAACTTGAGAAAGAGGCACTTTGCTCCTGTCTCACTTAAATCACCACAATGCTTTTGCAGCATTAGATCAGTATTTCTTTTTCATTTCAGAGTAGATGTTTGACTTGTTTTTAAGTTAAACTGTGTACTATTTATAGAAAGCTTGATTATGTACCATTTTCTAGAATCTTGGTAGCTAATTTAGCTTTTTGGTATGATGAAACAAATGTAACTTTAGTTTTTATTTACTCACTTTCCTAAAGCCATAATGCTTTTTGAGTCAGTGACTTCTCCCCTTTTCTCTTACGGGATTTGACTAGTTTGTGGTCATTGGCCTTATATATTTTTTATAATAATAGTTCTAATAAAATTATCTCAGGTGTGATTGTGTGTGTGTGTGTGTGCATTCAAACTGCTTACTTTTGTAATTAGGGATGCATTTCCTTTCTTTCCAAGGATATATATGTGTGTTTGCCTTTTCCAAACAAAATAAAGCCCTTTGTGTGTAGTCCAACCTTCTCTACTCTTTTTTTGCCTTTCCTGTTTGCTAGTTTGTCTTATCATTTTTGCTAGGTTTCATTATTTTCTCTTTTCTGATATTGATAATATCCTTTAATGTTAACACTGTTTTCTCATATAGATCATATCCCTTAATGTTAGAAATCAAATTTTGCCATTACAATGTCATTGCCTTCATTTAGATACAAATTTCATTTTTGTTCCCTATGCCTGCTGCTTTAGTATATTGATACCCATATTCCTAGGCTTTGTCTTATATTTGCAGAATAATTCCAGAGGTTAGGCTTAATTTGACCATTCATGCTTTTTAAAGTATTTACACAAGGCTCCTGCCACAACATATTTGAATGCTTAGAGATCTTTGGGTGAAAGGATCAGTTTGAATGCAAATACTATGGGTTTTTTTATTTATTTTGTACTAGAGGCCTGGTACATGAATTCATGCACAGGTGGGGTCCCTCAGCCTGGCCGGCAATCGGGACCGATTGGGGCATCTTGCCCAGTCCGAATCAGGGCCGTGGGAGGCTGGCCACGGGAGGTTGGCCGGCCTTGGGAGGTTGGCTGTGGGAGCACACTGACCACCAGAGGGCAGCTTCTGTGTTGAGCATCTGCTCCTTGGTGGTCAGTGTGCATCTTAGCAACTGGTCGACCGGTTATTCCGGTAACGGTAGCTTAGGCTTTTATATATATACTAGAGGCTCGGTGCACAAAAATTTGTGCACTTGGGAAGGGGGGGTCCCTTAGCCTGGCCTGCGCCCATTCACAGTCCAGGACCCCTTGGGGGATGTCCATCTGTCGACTTAGGCCCACTCCCCGGGAGATCAGGCCTAAACTTGCAGTCAGACATCCTTCTGGCAGCCAGGGAGCCCTCAGGGGATGTCCAACTAAAGGCTTAGGCCCACAAGGGAGGTCTAAACCGTTAGTTGGACATTCTTAGTGCTGCCACGGAGGTGGGAGAGGCTCCTGCCACCACCACTGCGCTGGCCAGCCATGAGCCAGCTTCTGGCTGAGTGGCACAACCCATATGGAAGTGCACTGACCACCAGGGGGCAGCTCCTGCATTCAGTGTCTGCCCCTTGGTGGCCAGTGCGCATCATAGCAACTGGTCATTCTGCGTTCAGTCAATGTGTATAGCCTTTTATTACTATTATATAGGATGTCCCTATTTTCCCCCTTTTGCCTCCTCTACCCAGCTCTTGTCCCCCACTTCTCTCTGGCCATCACCATACTGTTGTCTGTCCATGGGTTGTGCATATATTTTCTTTGGCTAATCCCTTTTTTAAATTCACTTCTTTAAATTTTTATTTTCAGATAAGTGCTTATAACTGCACTATTATATATTTTTTATTATATCATTTAGAATTAAGATATTTTTAAATTGAATCCTTGTAAATTTTAGCACAATTTAATAAATTATGCTAGAAGCAATTAGATTTTTTCATGTAATGCAGATACATTTCAATTAATATTTTATTAATTTTTTAATATTTTAATTTGAAATAATCTCATACATGTAAAAAAAAACTATAAAATACTACAGCATATTATATGTACCCTTCACCCAGTTTCTTAGGTGTTAATAATTTAAACATAACCATTATACAACTAACAAAATTTGGAATATATTTTTCTTATAATCTCTTTAATGTTACTTAATCCATTTACTTTGTTTTTGTTAATCTTCACCCAAGGATATTTTTCCATCGAATTTTAGGGAGAGTGAACGGAAAGGGAGAGACACATTGATTGGTTGCCTCCTGCACATGCTTTGATAGGGACTGGGGATCAAGCCAGCAACTGAGGTACATGCCCTTGACTGGAATCGAACCTGGGACCCTTCAGTCCATGGGCTAATGCTCTATCCACTGAGCAAAACAGGCTGCAGCTTAATTCATTTACTTTTAATCTATATGTGTCTTTATATTTAAAGTGGGTTTTGTTTTTGATTCACCCTCATAATTTGTCCTTTAATTGGTGCATTTATGCCACTGACTTTCAAAGTGCTTATTGATAAGAGTTACCGCCATATCAGGCAGCTTCTGGGTCTTCTGGGTCACGCCCTGCCTTGCTGCCAGGGACCTGATCGCGTCCCCGGCGGCAAAGCAGGCTGGCTCCTGGGTCTTCTGGGGCTGCCCTGGATGGCGGTGGGCTGGCGGCTCACGCTGTCCTGCCCTGCCTGCAGTATGCAAATTAGCCACCATCTTTGTTGGTGTAGCAAAGGTACGGTCAATTACCATGTTTGTCTATTATTAGATAGGATAGACTAGAGGCCCGGTGCATGAAAATTCATGCACTGGATGGAGGTCCCTCAGCCCGGCCCGCCCCCTCTCACAGTTCTAGGGCCCTCACGGGTGGGAGGTGACCTGGTGATCAGGGGAAGGCCACACCCCATCACACCTCCACTGCTCCCACTGCCGGCAGCACAAGCCTCGGCCGGCCCTGGGTGGCTGGGGGATTCCAGAGGTAGGCGCACAGAGTAGCCAGGCCCACCTGCCTCTCCAGCGGAGCTGAGGGGACTGGGTGCCACCATCTTGTGGCTGTGGGTGCCGCTATCTTTGAGGGTGTGGCAGTCAATTAGCATATTCCTTCTTTATTGGCTGTGGGCGCCGCAATCTTTGTGATGGCGTGAGGGTAAATTAGCATATTCCCTCCTTATTGGCTGTGGCACCACCATCTTTGTGACGGTGTGAGGGTCAATTAGTATATTCTCTCTTTATTAGATAGGATTAGTATGATTAGCTTTGTATTCATTTTGTCTTCTGCAGAACACAGTCTCAAAGCTTTTACCACACTTTTGATTTATAAAAACGTAATTGAGTGTAAAATATTCAAGATGGCATCTAAAGATTTAAATATAACTTTGCTATTGAGAAGTAAAATAAATTATGGCATTATTTTGTTCTGCTACTAAAATTGCCTGTGAGTAAAATTCAAAGATTAAAACCCTAGAACGCATTTATTTATTTTTTAAATGAGTGACATTTGCCCTGCTTTTAAAAAGAAATACACAGCAGAGATAGTCATAGAAATGTGCTTAGCCTAATTTTAAAATAGAGCATTGATTTTTTTTTTAAAGTAGATAATTCAGATATTTTAAATACTTTAGCTTTGTTTGAGTATCATTTTACCTAGTTTGGAAAAGGTCATTAATTTAGTCCCTTCCCTAATTTACAGAGATCGGGGGAATAGGAGAGATTTTAGAATTCTCATACATGTTTGAAAAAGTAGCATTTTCAAGTGTCTTTGCTGTTTTACACGTGCTGTAACTCTTAATATTTTCTTTACAGAAAGACAGTAAGATTTCTTTTAGCTATAAAATTCTATTCTTAAAAATTACCACTAATACTGATAATTCTATGATATAGATGTAGAGTTATATAAAACAAAAAAAGACTAGTCTTTAAAATTGTTTTAGAGGGGGTAAAATAGTTCACAATGTTAGTATTTTATAGACTTGATAAGGAAGACTGTACTTTGTCATCAGAGATTAATTTCAGTAATTTTATAGTTGGTTTTATTCAGCCTTATTGAAATTACTTCATGTAAGCCTGATCAAACCTAGCCATGACCATACAGAGTTGTAGGTCCATAACCAACACGATTTTGGTGCTATTAAAACTTTCCTTTTCTTTCACAGAACTATTGCACAGCCAAAACATTGTACATATCTGATTCGGACAAGAGAAAGCATTTCATGTTGTCTGTAAAGATGTTCTATGGCAACAGTGATGACATTGGTGTGTTCCTCAGCAAGCGGATAAAAGTCATCTCCAAACCGTCCAAAAAGAAGCAGTCATTGAAAAATGCTGACTGTATGTATATACTTCAATTTTCTTTTGTCCCCAACTCCCACCATGAATTAAGATAAATTTTACTATTTTTAAATTAAAAATTGCGTTTTGATAGTCAATTCATTCTTTACTAATATTTTTGTGGCCCTCACTTTATCTTAAGATGTCACATTCATTAATTATTGCTGCTTTATTGTCTTTTTTTTTTTTTAATGCACAATACCTGGTCTGGGAATCAACTAGACTTGGTTTATCACTGCTCTCCAGAGACATTTAGAAAATAGGAGTTTTTTTCCCCTTTTGCTGTCACAGTGACTGCAGGGAGTGATTTAGCTTTGGGTGTCTTGGGCCAAGAGAGTCCCATTTCACAAAGTTGATTTACCAAGAATGTCAAAAGCGCCTCTTTGAGGGACACTGTAATATCAGATGGGCCTTGCAAGGCTGTCCTGAGAACCTACACAACATTTTTAACACGGTTCTCTGCCAGAGACTGCTGTCTCATCAGCAGAGTTTTAGATCCTCAAGAGATGAGTGCTGTCTGTTTGCATTAAACATTTCAACCCCTATGCCCGTTTTTCTTATTGTAACTTCTTCTTATGAAAACTTTCAAACTTAGTGAAAGGGAGAAAGTAGCATAAGGTGACCATCCACCTGGCCTCAGCAGGTTTTTATCAGTTGTTTCATTATCTCCATCACCACCAGCACTTCCTTCTCCAGTTGCGGGAATATTTAAATGTAAATCTTGAATGTCCTATCCTTTCAGCTACCATTTCTTCAGTAGTGACTAACAGATAACTTTCTTTTTCAACATTCTTACACCTAACAGAGTTGACCGTTCTTTGATGTAAAAGCCAAGCCATGTGCAGACTTATCACATTCTTCAGAAATATGGTTTTACAGTAGTGTTTTTGTTGTTTTTTAACAATTGACTTAACTGGATCCTAACAAAGATCATGCATTTTAATCTGTAAGTTTCTTCTCTCCCTCTCCAACCGTTTATTTCTTCCTTATCATTTATTTGTTAAGAGACGGGTCATTTTTCCTGTGGAATGTCCACATTCCAGATCTGGCCGATTACATATTTCTCTGTCTCATATTTTCCATAAATTGGTGGTTAGACCTCAAGGCTTTTATTTTAGATTTAGCTGGTCCTATATATGTTCATTCCTGTGGAATCAGAAGTCATATAATATCTGAACATCCCACTTCTTGTCATGTTAAGATTGATTATAGTAAATTGAGCTATTATTAGCCCAGCCTATCCATTACAAAGTTCTGAGAAGTCTTTAATCTGATGGTTTTAGTAGTAGTCATTGATAATGCTGCTTAAATCAAATAGTTCATCAAGGGCTGAAAAATGGTGACTTTTCTAATACTTTTACTCATCATTTCTGCATTTGCTAGCTGTTTGCTTCAAATGTAGTCAGTAGAAGAAAAGCAGGATAAATGCTTATTTACTAATTTGCAGACCAACAATATTCTTTGAAGGTGATAATGAGGTTTTAGGATTTTTGTTTTGTTTGCTTGCTCTTATTTTGTTTTGTTTTATTTTTATTATGAACTTACAGGTTTTTATATCCTATTGATTCTTTAGTTCACTCAGTAATTATTATTATTTATTTTATGGAATATTTCAAACATACTAGACAGAGCTGCATAATGAAATGAAACCTCCTGTGTTCTAACGTTAACCATGATTTTAACTTCATCTTCATTCTATACCCCACTCTACCCTCATTTTAGTTTGATGCAAATCCAAGACATTGTATCATCTATAAATATTTCTATGTGTCTCTGAAAGATGAAGTTTCTTGTTTTTTAATATAATCACCATGACATCACATGAAAATAAACATCCTATCTAATAAAAGAGTAATATGCAAATTGCCCATCACTCCAACACAAGATGGCCGCCCCCCATGTGGTCAAATATGGCCTGCAGGGGAGGGCAGTTGGGGGGGACCAGGCCAGCAGGGGTGGGCAGTTGGGGGCAATGGGGCTGGCAGGGGAGCAGTTAGGTGTCAATCAGGCTGGCAGGGGAGTGGTTAGGGGGTGATCAAGCTGGCAGGCAGAAGCGATTAGGGGCAATCAGGCAGGCAGGCAGGCGAGCGGTTGGGAGCCAGCAGTCCTGAATTGAGAGAGGAATGTCTGACTGCCCATTTAGGCCCGATCCCACACCAGGCAGTCGGACATCCCTTGAGGGGTCCCAGATTGGAGAGGGTGCAGGCTGGGCTGAGGGACATACTCTCTCTTCCTCCCCTCCCCTCGTGCACGAATTTCATGCACCGGGCCTCTAGTGTAATAAAATAATTATAAAAAGAAATAATTTCATCAAACATCTAGTCAGTGTTGAAATAGTATAAAATGTAATTATTTAGCTCTTTGTTTGAATCAAAATTTAAATAAGGTCCACCAGAAGTTACAATATATATTGTGTTGACACGTCCTTGAGTATTTTTAATCTGTAGATTCCCTCTTCATTTCTCCTGTCTCTGTCTCTCTCTCTCTCTCTCTCTCTCTCTCTCTCTCTCTCTCTCTCTCTGTCTCTCTCTCTGTCTCTCTCTCTCTCTCTCTCTCTCTCTCTCCTTGTAATTTATTTATTTAAGAGACCGAGTCATTTGGCCATGAGAGCTTTCCACAGAGTGGATTTTGCTAATTTCATTTCCTTGATGTAGTTTAATGTATTTTCTGTAAATTGGTGGTGGTAAAGAGAAACTGCCTGACACTAGTTAAAGGTGATAAAGACAGATTTTATTCAGTACTGTTGCAATAGGGAAAAGAGACTTCAATGTATAATTGAGCTCAAATCCTAATACAACAAGGACAAATGGGGATTTATAGGCAAGGAGCAGAGTGAGGGGCGGGGAGGGTCAGTGGATGGAACATTACTAGGAACAGACATCCGGGGTAGAGGGATTTTTGACAAACCAGTCTAACAGAATGCTTGCTAAGGGCAGGCCCAGGATATCAGATGTAAAGCTTGGGGGCTGGGGAGGAACTTGATCAGATAACTAGAGTGGGAGGATGGCTTAGCAAGATTCTTGCAATAACTGGGCCAATGGCAGGGCCCCTGGAAGGGACCCGGGGGAGCCTGTCTAAAGTTTGGTCAAGGAGAGAGTTTTGTCAGTCAGTTTAGAAGCTTGGTCAGATTTAAGTTAGTTGTTCTTTGATTCTTTTTTGTTGCTGGAGGGCAAGGGTCACTTCCTAGTGGTGAAGTGTTCTTGCATCAGGAGGCATATAATGATATGTATTCAGGCTATTTCTAATTCAAATAACAGGATTTTATATAACCTCTTCAACTTGGAATTTCTATTAACGAAGTTTCTTGGTGACAGAGAACATTTTACTTTCAGAATATTTTCTTGCTTGCATAGATGTGGCTATTTTTTGTTTTGTTTTGTTTTGTTTTTTAAATTCATGCAGTGCTGTATACTTGAGGGTATTTAGAAGAAATCAGAATCTCTAATCACAATATCTAGACGCAAGTGTCATCTACTTGGTAACCCTCCTTGACCCTCCCTATGAGTATTTTCCACAGGATTGGATATGAGCACAGGGAGACACATGTGCAGTCACATGAATATATACATTTACCTGATGTAACCACACATACCAAGTATTTTATAGTCTGCTTTCCATTCAGCGATATTCTAGGAAGATGAGTTTTTTGTCCCTTTTCTTTTTTTCTTTTAATCCTTATTGTTGAAAGTATTATAAGGGTCCTCCTTTACCCCCGTTAATCTCTTCCAGCCTACTCCCATCCTTCCCCCACCCCAGGTCTTCACCACCCCATTGTCTGTGTCCACAGGTTATGCATATATGTATAGAAGTTCATTGGTTAATCTCTTCCCACCCACCTTCCCTTGCCTTCCCTCTGAAGTTCAACAGTCTGTTCATGCTTCAATGACTCTGGGTCTATTTTTGAACATCATTGTATTTGGTTTGTTATGAATAGTTTCTTATCAGTGCATTTAGATACATGTTATTTAAATGGTAATAGATATTATAATTTATTTCATCAATTTTCACTGTTGGACATTTATTATTTTAATAATTTTCCTTTATTGCATAGCACTTCACTAGACATATTGTATAGTTCTCATTTAAAGATGATTTTTATGGGCATATTTTATGTCTTCAGCTTGACATTGTTAATGATAATTACCTTTACTTTTTTGGGGGGGTGGGGAGTATTAACCTGTATTCTTTGGAGGGTTAAAAATTTGTTAAAAGAATGTTAAATTATAATACTAATTTAATATAATGTAAATATCCTATGTAATAAAAAGCTAATATGCAAATTGTCCCTTCGACCGGGAGTTCAACTGGGAGTTCAACCAGGGGGTGGGCCAGCCCGCCAACCGCCCTGCGGCCCCCTCTAGTTAAATCAGTGGTTCTCAACCTTCTGGCCCTTTAAATACAGTTCCTCATGTTGTGACCCAACCATAAAATTATTTTCATTGCTACTTCATAACTGTAATGGTGCTACTGTTATGAATCGTAATGTAAATATCTGATATGCAGGATGGTCTTAGGCCACCCCTGTGAAAGGGTCGTTCAACCGCCAAAGGGGTCACGACCCACAGGTTGAGAACCGCTGAGTTAAATTATAATAAAGAACAACCATAACTTGCCAGGTACCGATCCCTTCTTTCTCTGTCTCACCTCCAGTCACCTAAACCGGAGCTATTTTTTCTCTGCAGTATGCATTGCCTCAGGAACCAAGGTGGCTCTGTTTAATCGACTTCGATCCCAGACCGTTAGTACCAGATACTTGCATGTAGAAGGAGGTAATTTCCATGCCAGTTCTCAGCAGTGGGGAGCATTTTACATTCATCTCTGTGAGTATTAAAATTGCATTTGATGTTTCTGGTGTGAAGCTTTTAAATTCTTTTTGATAACAAGATGTGGGGGTATATTTATTAAGTTTTGTTATCTTCCTAAGCAGATGAATGAATTCTAAAAGATAACAGTTTGATCTCTGTTTCACTCCACCAGTGGATGATGATGAGTCTGAAGGAGAAGAGTTCACAGTTCGGGATGGCTACATCCATTATGGACAAACAGTCAAACTTGTGTGTTCCGTTACTGGCATGGCACTCCCGAGATTGGTATGGCTCCACTTTTGCTTTTGTAATATGTGTAGTAAAAATTAAGAAAACGCCACAACATTCAAGCTCATGCTTTTTAATTTAAAAAGAGATATCAATAAGCATTTATAATTGACATTTTTACCCCACTTTATGTTTAAAATGTTTTAAGGCAATTAGCCAGTTTTTATGAATACATTCTTAATAACTTCCTGCCGAACTGTTTCTAGTAAGTTTTGGTGGCATTTTTTCCTTTTTGGTTGTGTATCTGAGCATGTTCAATAGAGGGCGCTATAAAATTACATTGTGATTTCTTAATGCAGATCACACTGTATTCATTTTTTTGTGGTACCTGCTGCATCCCAAATAGGACCAAGTTTTCAGAAACATAGAAGTTCTTATTTCTTTAGAAATATATATAAGTTAATTTTTACCAATTTACTCTTCCACAAGAAGAAAAATTTATTAAAAAGGAAATGAAATTGGGAGAGAGGCATATAGTGTAGGGATTTTTGTTCACTAGGGAGATCATGAAATAGTAAAAAACTGCTTTTCTTACCAAAATGAAAGCAAAGGCTCTGAGTATACCCTCCCACGTGCTTACCCTCTTTTTCTGAAACAGAAAGCAATATAGCTATAGTAAAGATGGAGACTTTCAAGTAAGTTGGATTCAAAGTCAGGTTGGGGATTGGGATGAATGGAAGAACATTTACTATATATATTTATGTCTGGTGAAATATTTTACTGGCTTACATTTTCTGGTACTATTTCAGCAGTGACTGAGTCTGTAATTAAGTAAATACAATAATTCTTTGTCTATTGTTTATTTTTCTATGTCATGGTTTTACAAGGTGATTTTTATTTGCCCTTAAAATTTCATACGCTAAGATAATGTAGTAATATTAATGTATAAAACCTTAACTGAGACATTATAATAAAAAAAGAGTAAAGGTAGGGAGAGAAGGGTGTAAAAAAATGGGAAGATGCAAATGAAAAAACAAACCAAGTCAAGTTCTTTTCTTGAGTTCTTTTCATTATGTATCACTCTATTTCAAGGATATTGTTTATTTGCTTTGGCATTAAAAGCCATCTGATGCATTTCCTTAGACAAATAGTAGTGGACATCCTTGGTTTCTTTATTGGTGAGAGCTAGCTCATTCAACTATGTGTCCAAAGAAATATTGTGGAGAATAAAATTGAACCACGCATGGCCCATGTCCTGAATGAGTTTATAACTAGCTAGTAGAGGAACTGGATACACGAACAACAGTACTGTAGATGAATCATGACTCTTACCTGGTGGGAGACGCATGAGTGAGTGCTTACAGACTTTTACAGGAAACTTTAGACTAACATCATTGAAAAAAATCAGTTATTTCTCTAAAATCCTTGTTAAATTTAAATATGGCCGTAAGATTTTAGCATTGAATTGAAACATTTTGCTTACGATTCATTAATCTTACAGACTTAGAAGCTTTAATTACTAAAAATGTACTATTTAAACTAAAAAATTAGTGGTGGTATAAGTAGAATGACAAATATTCTAATAGACTGCAGAGCTAAAAATGTGTAAGTATGAAGAACTTAAAGATTGGGACTTTTTTGCTATTGTGATTTAAAGGAGAAAAATCTGTGAACACAATCAAGTGGTAAAAATCAACAGTGCTATATAATATTAATAGCACTGTTCTAAGCACTTTCACATATGTTGATTTATTCAATCCTTACAAAACTTCTGTGAGAAATTACTAGTAAGGATGTTCATTGTGGAGCAAAGCATTACAGTCCTACATGCAGACATGGATTATACAAATAGTCCTGAAACTTCATGTGCCAGGTGAACAAGACAGACTTTCTGTCCTCATGGAGCTTACGCTTTAATTCGGAGATAGAAGAAAATCAGCTAAAGAGATACTTAAAAGATTAATATAAGTGGTATGATAAGTTAAAAGGTTAATATAAACGTTATAAAGGCAGATTTTAAAAGGATAAAGGGATAGGAATTGGGAAAATGTTTTAGAGTAATCAAAAAAGTTATTTTGAAGTGGGGATATTTGAACAGAGACCAGAATGAAGTTGGGGGAACACAAACAAGTAAGGAGCATTTCAGGAAGACAGAATCTGTGCAAAAAGAACTTAAGGCGGGAATGTGTGGGGACCAGCAAGGAAGCCACTGCAGCTAGAGCTGGAGGAGGGATGGAGGGGCACTTGACAAGAAAGGAGGCTCTGAGGTTGGCCACGGGCAACATCTTGTAAAGTTCCTCTCTATCTAGCCTAAGGGCTTTGTATTCTCCATGTATGATAACAGGCCACTGGAGGGTTTTAAACAGGGAATGGCGGCTGATCTATGCACAGGCGGATGATGCTGGCTGCTCTGGGGAGGGGAGAACATAGGGGGTAACTGTGGAAGCAAAGATGCCGGTGGTTGGGCCTTTGTCATAATTCAGACAAGAGTGGACGGTGGTATCTTGCACTAGGATTGTAATGCTAGTGCAAGATGATGAGTGGTGATTGATTTATTTGAAAGTACACCAAACAGGATTTGTTAACAGATTGGATGATTGGGTGTGAGAAAAAAAGGAGTCAAGGGTGACTTCAAGGTTTTGCATTGAGTAAACGGTGCTGCCATTTATTGAGCTGGGGTTGGGGGAGATTTCGGAGAAAATCAAAAATTCTGTTTTAGATTAAGATTGAGATAGCCTATTAGACATCTTAAGTGAAACTGTTGAGTAGTTATTAAATATACAAGATGAGTGCTGGAGTGAGGGTAGGGCTGGAGATGTAAACCTAGGAGTTGCCAGCCTCTAAGTCAGTGATTCCCAAAGTAGGCGCTACCGCCCCCTGGTGGGCGCTGCAGCGATCCAGGGGGGTGGTGATGGCCGCAGGTGCATTTGTTTTAACTCTTTTTGTATTACCTTTCTATTCTGAGTTCAATAAATAGTTTCATAATTTCAAACTTCAATGTTTCTAATTTACACCTTTCTTTACTATATTTTACGAAAAAGGTAGAAACATTAATACATATATCTTTCTGTTTAATTGCTATTAAAATTTTAAAAAAATTAATTTCCAGGGGGCGCTGAGTAATATTTTTTCTGGAAAGGGGGCGGTAGGCCAAATAAGTTTGGGAACCACTGCTCTAAGTAGTCCAGGAAGTATAGGTATGGCGAGGGGAGACAAGAGGTCTGAGGACTCTGCACTGGGGCACTGTGAGGCCAATTAGAGCAGCATCTCTGCAAGGAGAATGTCTGTCAGACGCTTCCGAGAAAGCTGATCAGATGAGGAGAGAGGCTGCACACAGGACTGATTCACCTGGAAGTCCTTGGTGGCCTCGACAAGAGCAGTTGTAGTGGAGACTTGGAGACAATAGGCTGGAAAGATTTCATGAGGCTGGATGGTGAGGAAGAAGAGTTTTCTTTTCTGTAAAGAGAAGTGAAATGGGATGGTGAGAGGGGAGGAACGAGGACATGCAGTCAAGGAAGTTTTCGTTTGATTTCACATGGAAATAGTTCTAAATGTTTGTATACTACTATTGGGAGTGACTTTCATAATCATCAAACACTTAGTGATTGCCTTCCCTGTGACCAGTGGCTCTAAGGGTTGATAGGATTATTTTTCAGCTATCCGTATGTGTTTTGTGGAATATTTGGATTATAATCTCGTGGCATGTAATGGAAAGAGTTCAGACTGGGCAAGCAGCCAGCCCTGGAATCATATTCTGGTCCTTCAGCTACTATGCAGGTGATTTTGAGGAACTTACCTGACCACCTGAGTCCATTTCTAATCTGCAAAATGATACCTATTACAAGTATTTAAGTGTGTGTGTGTGTGTGTGTGTGTGTGTATACACACTTAAAATAGGTATCATTTATATATATATTGGATAATGGACTACGCTGACTACTACACCAATGTAGCCTTTAAAGATAGTTTTTTCCTTTCATGTTGGATTATGTCATTTATTTTTACTTTTTAAAAATTTGTCACTGTATTTTATTGGAAAGGTCATCTGAACTTGCTACTTAAAATATGGACCAGTGATTCTCAACCTTGGCTGCACATTAGAATCACCTGGGAATCTTTTTAAAATCCTGATTTCTGGGCCTCATCCTCCGGAAATTCTGTTTCTTTGTTACTAATGTTGTGGCCCCACCCCACAACAAAGAAACAGAATTTCTGGAGGATGAGGCCCAGAAATCAGGATTTTAAAAAGATTCCCAGGTGATTCTAATGTGCAGCCAGGGTTGAGAACCATTGATATAGAACAACAGGATTAGCATCAGCTGGGAGTTTGTTAAAAATGCCAAATCTGTGGCCCCCACACAAGATTTATGGGCTCAGAACAAGGACCCTCGGTGACTTGTGTGCACATTGAAGTGTAAAAGCCCTGATCTAGAAAGCAAGGCGCCTGCCCTGGCTTTATGTGGTTCTGGAAGAGGTGACAGGTCACACCTTCTAACATGCTTTCGATCTAAAGGCATTTTCTATACCTGGTCTGTTGTTTATAAATGTTTGTGCGTGACAAGTAAGGGATGTATTATTATATAGCTTATTTCTATAGGTATCGAAAGTATACCTACTGAAAACTCTCCATGTGTGACAGCCTTTTCTTTTTCAATTGTTGACACACAGATAATCAGAAAAGTTGACAAGCAGACTGCATTACTGGACGCAGATGACCCTGTGTCTCAGCTCCACAAATGTGCATTTTACCTTAAGGATACAGAAAGAATGTACTTGTGCCTTTCTCAAGAAAGAATAATCCAGTTTCAGGTAGGTTTCTAAAATACTGGTGAAACCTAAAATGTGTGTTAGGTCAATAGCATACAGAAACAGGAAGCTCTTGCTTAATGTTCATTGTATCCAAATACATGAAGCTGTGTTCAGATGTTTTCTCAAGTCCAAGGGTTCTCAACCCACAGTCTTCCGACATGGTCACCCTGCCTCAGGGAAGAACTCAAAACTCATCATGTTCTCCAAGAAACAGTTAACATCTAGCTCTGGGGGACAGAAGGCCTCTTGGATAACCCAAAAGTAGATTTCAGGTGTCCAGTGAATACCCTGAAGTTGTGTGCACACATTGTATATGGAGGGGGAGGGTTCATCGTTTCTCACCAGATTTATTTTGGGGTCTTCCAAGATAGTAATGATGACATGTTTCAAAAGCTATTTTTTAACTACATTTATTCAGAAGGCTTTCCTGAGGACATTCATGACATGGGCATCTTACTTAATAGGAGAGTTATGCTTTCATGGGAAACTAGTTTGTAAACATCTGGAGACCTGTTCCAGAGGTATGGCCACACACAGCTGTTTCCTCAGCCCAGCACTGATGGACTGGTCCAGGTGTTTTAAGGTAGGGGTGGGGGTTATTGATTCACATCTTGGTTGCTTCTTAAGAAAGTACATGGGTTTCTAGCTGTTTTCTAAGCAGGAGAGTATTCTAATCTCTCTTTCTTAGGAATCCCTAAAGAGGTTTTTTTGTTTTGTTTTTTTAATCCTCACCTGGGGGGTATATTTTCATTGATTTCCAGAGAGAGAGGTATGGAGAGAAAGAGAACATTGATTGGTTGCCTCCCATTCTTGCCCCCACTAGAGATTGAACCCACACCCTTTTGGTGAATGGGATGGCACTCCAACCAACTGAGCCAGCCAACCAAGTCAGGATACCTAAAGAGTTTTAAACAGCTATTTACATCATAGATACTGACCTTTTATTTAAAAAATTATATAGGTACTGGTATACTCAGAAATGCTTATTCTGAAGGGTATTACCAGTTATTTAATATGTCACTGAAATATTTCATCCTATCTAATAGAAGAGAAACATGGTAATTAGCCATACATCCGCTACCCTTCCCATTGGCTAATCAGGGCAATATGCAAATTAACTGCCAGCCAAGATGGCGGCCGGCAGCCAGGCAGCTTGAAGCGAACATGAGGCTTGCTTGCTTCAGTGACGGAGGACTCCAACGTTCCCCGCCTGCCGCTGCCGGCCTCTGAGCTTGCAGTTTGAAACATTGTTACAAATATAGAATCTAAACAAACTCCAGAAACCTGCTTTCAGCCAGCCGGGATCTCAGAGCTGGAGTTGAAACAGTGTTTCGATTATAGAACCCAAACAAACCAGATACCTGCTTTCAGGAAGGCTTTACAGCTGGAGCCAAGCCTCAAAGCTAAAGCTGGCCCAGAATAAAAAAGAAAAAGAAAAAAAGGAGCGGTTGGGAGCTTCAGTCACCCGCCAGCCTGAAAACAGCCCTCAGCCCCTCACCCAGACTGGCCAGGCACCCCAGTGGGGACCCCCACCCTGAAGGGTGTGTGACCAGCTGCAAACAGCCATCATCCCCTCATCCAGGCTGGTCAGGCACCCAAGCTGGACCCCCACCCTGATCCAGGACACCTTCAGGGCAAACCAGCCAGCCCCCACCCATGCACCAGGCCTCTACCCTATATAGTAAAAGGGTAATATGCCTCCCAGCACTGGGATCAGCGGAGCAGCGAGGCCTCCCGGTACCGGGATCAGCGTGACAGGGGGCAGCGCCCAAACCCCCTGATCACCCTGCAGCTCTGTGTGTGACAGGGGGCGGGGCCACAACCTCCCTATCGGCCCTGCTCTGTTCGTGACAGGGGAAGGCGCCCCAACCCCCTGATCAGCCCTGCTCTGTGCCTGATAGGGGGGAGCTCCTCAACCCCCCAATCGCCCTGCGGCTCTGTGTGTGACAGGGTGCAGCGCCCCAACCCCCTGATCGGCCCTGCTCTGTGTGTGACAGGGTGCAGCGCCCCAACCCCCTGATCGGCCCTGCCCTGAGTGTGACAGGGTGCGGCGCCCCAACCCCCTGATCCGCCCTGCTCTGTGTGTGACAGGGGGCGGTGCCCCAACTCCCCTATCGGCCCTACGCTGTGAGTGATAGGGGGGAGCTCCTCAACCCCCTGATGGGCCCTGCTCTGTGCGTGACAGGGGGGAGCTCCCCAACCCCCTGATCGACCCTGCTGTGTGCGTGACAGGGTACGGAGCTCCAACCCCCCTGATGGGCCCTGCTCTGTGAGTGACAGAGGGCGGTGCCCCAACCTCCCTGTTGACCCTGCCTTGAGAGTGTGACGGGGTGGTGCCCCAACCCCCCAATCAGCCCTACCCTGAGCGTGACTGAAGGTGGCATCACAACCTCCCGATCCGCCCTGCTCTGTTTATGACAGGGGTCGGTGCCCCAACTCCCCAATCAGCCCTGCTCTGAGCCTGACCAGAGGCTGCACCTAGGGATTGGGCCTGCCCTCTGCCACCTGGGAGCAGGCCTAAGCCAGCAGGTCGTTATCTCCCGAGGGGTCCCAGACTGCGAGAGGGCACAGGCCGGGCTGAGGGACCCCCCCCCCCCCAGTGCACAAATTTTTGTGCACTGGGCCTCTAGTATTATAATAAAAACTATGTGTCAGGTTTTTATGTTAATACTAGAGACCCAATGCACTCGGGGGTGGGGGGAGGTCCCTCAGCCTGGCCTGCACCCTCTTGCAGTCCAGGAGCCCTTGGGGATGTCCGACTAATGGCATAGGCCCGCTCCTGGGCCTAAGCTGTCAGTCTGACATCCTTAGTGCTGCCACAGAGGCTGGAGAGGCTCCCACCACTGCCGCTGCGCTTGTCAGCTATGAGCCCAGCTCAGGGCTTCTGGCTGAGTGGCGCTCCCTCTGTGGGATTGCACTGACCACCAAGTGGCAGCTCCTGTGTTGAGCGTCTGCCCCCTGGTGGTCAGTGCATATCATAGCAACCGGTCAGTCCAATGTTTGGTCGATTTGCATATTAGTCTTTTATTATATAGGATTCTGTTTGTGTTTATTTAGGGTTTGGCAAAGCACCATGCTTGTGAAGTTTATAAATTTTTACTAAATTCTTTCCATGCTAACTCTAGTCTAAAAATGTTACTTATTAAAGTTGTCTTATGCTGCAATGCATATAAAAATTTTTATACTTTCTTCATAAGGCCACTCCATGCCCAAAAGAACCAAATAAAGAGATGATAAATGATGGAGCTTCCTGGACAATCATTAGTACGGATAAGGCAGAGTATACCTTTTACGAGGGAATGGGCCCTGTCCTCGCCCCTGTCACACCCGTGCCTGTCGTAGAGAGTCTTCAGGTGAGACTACCTACTCACAAGTTGACTTTCCCTCCTTGTAACCTCTCTCAGCTATGACTTAGCATAATTTTATTTCACAATAATTTTGAGTTTTCTCCAAATATTGTGATTTGGGTATTTTGTTCTATGTTATTGGTAATAGAAAAACAAAAATAAGAGCCTAATTTTATGCAAAAAAAATTTAAAACCAACTTGGATGTTACCTTGATTTTTAAGCTTACTTTGTCTTTATAAGCATGTGATTTAAAAGAAGAACTTTAATCACCCATTTTTCGCAAATGATAATTGAATGAAAAACTAATCTGTGCACTTTAATGACGAGTGAAAAGTGTTCTCAATGCTGTTCTGATTTTCTGTGAATTGCAGCTGAATGGTGGCGGGGACGTCGCAATGCTTGAACTCACAGGACAGAATTTCACTCCAAATTTACGAGTGTGGTTTGGGGATGTAGAAGCAGAAACGATGTACAGGTACTTGGTAAACTTTTTACATCATCCAGAGTTGGAGGGGGTGGGTATCTGAGACTCTTTCCTGATACTGATTGTTATGTATTAAGCAACCCAATTTTAAGCTTCAGTTCTAAAACTTGCCTTGCGTTTGTTTCCTCCTCAGGTGTGGAGAAAGTATGCTCTGTGTTGTCCCAGACATTTCTGCATTCCGAGAAGGTTGGAGATGGGTCCGGCAGCCAGTCCAGGTTCCAGTAACTTTGGTCCGAAATGATGGAATCATTTATTCCACCAGCCTTACCTTTACCTACACACCAGAACCAGGGCCTCGGCCACACTGCAGTGCAGCAGGAGCAATCCTTCGAGCCAATTCAAGCCAAGTGCCCCCTAATGAATCAAACACAAACAGCGAGGGCAGTTACACAAACGTCAGCACAAATTCAACCAACGTCACATCATCTACAGCAACAGTGGTGTCCTAACTACCGTCTTGTTGCTAGGACTTAAATTGACTCCAGTGCGGCAAAATGTTGAGAGAGAGAGAGAGAGAAGTGAACAGTCTTTTGTGGTTTCTTGGGAAAACTTTTCATACCAGGTGATACTGTTCAAAAACCCCATGACCCGCAAGTGCTGATTGGAAGTGCAGAAGCCACAGTAAAACAAAAAAACATCATCGACATGTAAAAACTATTGGGAACTCCGGTTTTTTTCAGCTGTTATTTTTGGTTGGTTTTTGGTTGGTTTTGTTTAAATGGGCAAGAAATAGAGATGTGGCTGGAATAAAAATGAAACTAGAAGACACAAATCTAACATAGTTTTATGGACCAAGGACCTTGTATAAGCTTTAGTAAAGGTACATGTTCACCATACCTTTTATAGCACCGCATAGAGCACACCTGTTCCAGCAGGTGTTCTCCCTGCCCCTCGGAGCTTCTGCCCGTCAGTACGCTCAGGTTCCAAGCCTGACCACGCTTGCCGAGTCTCACTGTCATACTCCCAGGTTTTTTTGGTCTACGGCTGGAACTGTTCTTTCTTTGTTTTTTTAAAGCTGAAGTCTTACGACTTTTTATGAGTTGAAATTGTTTTGATTTCAGCAAGTCAAATCTTGTAAAGGCCTGCATTTTTTTTTAAAGATTATATGAAGTCTGTGCAAAAGCTTTAAGAAATGCCTCTGCCTTGCCTGCAATACATGCAACGTACATGAACTAGTCTCTATTCTCAGACATTTGACAATTATTTCCATGTTTTCTTTTTAAAAAAATGTATTTATAGTGGTGTTCCAAGTGGTTCTAACATTTACATGGGATTAAGTGTGGCCATTTAGTCATGAATGAGTTAATGGCACAGGACATGTTGGTGTTTGAAGTGTTCTCTCCCCTTCCCCCATGCGAACATGTGTCTCCATGTTTCAGGATTTGTTCAGGTTTCCCCCACCTGATCTTGTACATAACTTGTATTATGTGTAAGTTAAACATTTTATTTTGAACTTGTAATGTTCCCAGTGATTTCATTCAGTAGGGTGTTTTCTGCCTTTTTGACTTATGACAACATCAAAAAATCATAGAAATATTTGCTACCAGGCGGTAGATGGTGCCCTTACTGCATAATGAGAAAAATCTCAGCAGAAGCATGTTTTTATTGACCTTTTATTTTTTGGTAGCCTAGTCCAAGATGTCATTGTAACCTTAAAACAAGATGCTCTTATTAGATGGTGAACTAAAGTAGCTGGAAGACAAGTACTTTAGAAACAGATAGTTGTGAGATTATAAAAATGCAAATGTAACTTATCTTTCCAATTCTCTCTCTGCTTTTTTTAAAAACTTTTCTTTCCCAGTACTGAGCATCTCCACAGATGTCTCCTACTCAGAAAACATTTCTTTGCCCTTCAGTTAAGATTTGAGTGCGTCCACGGTGATGTTGGCCTTACATGCCAAGTTCCCCCGTTCCTTTACATTGCTTCTGTTTCTGCACTTTGGTTGTGCCTTTGTTCGGTCCTTAGAAATAGCAGCAGACTCGTTGGGCTACATTTAGTACAGGAACCACGTGTGTAATGTCCTAGGACACAGTCTAGTAATACAGCCACCCTTGTTAGAGTAAAAACTACCTCTAGATGGTGGTAAGCTTTTTACTGTCCCATAAAACAGGAGCCAAAGCACCTTGTGAACGAAAACTATACATTCGTTATTTCCATACAGAACATAGCCTTTCTGGTGTCCTGGGCTATTTTCGACATCATTGTTAGTAGCATTTTTCTTTTTCAACTTTGCTGTTTTCACTCATTTTGCTCAGATTGTGTCATTGTAAATAGGATTCCTAACATCTTTAAATCACTTTTTCCTCAGTTTGAAGGGAGAAGTCATTTATTTGTAAAACACATTCGTGGTAGAATCAGAGTTCCTGATTTTCTCTTTCTGCAAGCCTTTGCAATCAATTACCCATTAGACTACACGTAGCCTTCTCTCCACACTGCCCCAGTCACTAGCTTCTCTCTGTGAGCCGATCCTGCCTCACTCCTTAAATCTGTCAGTGATGAAGGGCAGAATTCAGTGTGGCCTTATCTTCCTTTGTTTTGACTGTTTACTGGCTTTTTCTTGCCTTTTTCCGAGTAGTATTTATTCTTCTCTCTGTTGTCATGCCAGCAGCCTTTGCACAGTGCTTTTGTTCAGAGTGCAAATGTTTTCAGTTCTGCTTTATTATTAATGGCTCACTTTTCTCCACTTCCCAGGTGTGGTGTTTAGTTGTAAAATTACATTAAATTAATTGATAACAGATGAGACACTTTTGAAGCGTCCTTACCCAGCTTTGCAGCTCAAAAATAATCCTTCAAGTGTATGACTTTATTAAAAGTGAACTTTTGCTTGTCGATTATTTAAATATATCTTATTTTGGCTCTTTGTTTCTTTTAATAAGACAATTGAAACATTAGGCTGTAAACTCTTTTCCTGTTTTGTTTTTTTGATAAGTCCAAGAATGTACTTATTATATAGGCATTTCTCCTGCTATTTTCTGGTCATTCTGTGAACCACAAACTGAAGAGTGAAATGGTTTGTCTGTTGTAGTTACTGTTAGAGGAGTTCTTTTGTCAGCTGCTTAAAAAAAATCTGTTTTGTGGATTTGTAAATCATTTGAGTGTATAATTTATAGGAGCCTTGTCCTCTTTATAGTAAAAGGTACCCCCCCTCCCCCCATTGGTGGCATTATTAGAGATACGGTCATTTTCTGTCATGAAGACCCTCTTAGAATGGTAACTGCTTCAGTGAAAGGACAGTACATTTGAGTTTTTTTAAATTCTGCTTTAGAAGTGTTATCTTTTGCTCTCATGATTCTATGCAGTTTCTAAAAAATGTGCATAGAAGCCGAGTCTGTGATCCAATATGTTTTTATTAGTTCCATTGAATGGATCACACCGATGGGGAAGGCAAGCGAAAGGCTTTAAAAGCAGAATGCCCTTCGTATTTTGAATGACTTCAGAGTTGAACACTAGAGTAATATTTAACCTGCTGCTGACTTTTCTTAAACTGTGGCAACTGAAGGCATCTTCATATATATATATATATATATATATTAGTGACCTGTTTGTCACTCTTGCTGCACAGACTTATTTGTGATCATAACTGGTTAGTTTTTGTTTATTTTTCTAATGAAACTGGTACCGTCTGTGCCCTCACAGAATATTCCCCATGCAGTTTTTGAAAACTAACTAGTCATGTTTAACCAGATAATCCATGGGGGGGAGGGGGGTTCCTTTTTGAAACAAAATGCTATTCAATTATTAACCAAGTTACTTACTTTTGATTTCGAAAGCAGCTGTTTCTGATGAATACTGAACAAATGTGTGTAATTTTCTGTGCCAGACTTTGACTTTGTTTCAAGCACTGTAATGTGGGTTGGATGGTTAGAAACAATAATATATTAGGGTTTCTATTTAACCCTTTCAGGACTGAACTGTGTCCCCTTTTATTAATTTTCCCTGTGTTGTGATAAATGTTTGCCAGCATTCAGTACTGTGTTGGTCCAAATGTAGGTTTATATGCTCATTTTTAGCTTATTTCTTGTACCTTGCAGCATGCTCTACACATTCAGTCCTTAAGGGGTTTATTTTACAAACTGTGCGCCTGTAAGGTTTGTTAGCAATAAGATAGAAAATTGAGCAAGTTTATACCATAATTTTGTAGAAAAAAGAATCTGCTCAGTTCCATATTTCATCCATGAGAAACCTGCAATATGGGCAGTTTCAAGGAATTAATAAAAAGGAAATGTAAACCATTGTAAAAGTCTTCTGTTGAATGGGCCTGGTGCATGCTTTATCGTCTTGGTGTCAGAATACTTCATAACGATGACATTAAATTCCACGTGACCGTTTGCACACGGACACCCCTACCTTGCTGTCTGCATCGCCCGAGTGGTAGCTGCGCTGATTCCTTCTTCACTGTTGTTCACTGGGTGCTGCTGCACTGAGAGGGAGGAGTTCTTTTTCCTCCCTTTTGAATGGGGAAATGGGATTGTCCCTCAAGGGGCCTCTCTCCCAATTCAGTAACATTTCCAGCTAATTCCAACAAAATTGGAGGATATTATTTAATAACCTTTCAATATAAGGTTGTCATTTGGCCTGATTCTAAAGAACATAAACTGGTTTGTGCTTTTTGCCTGGGGCTCCTAGAGAGAGTGACAGTGCCTATTTTTGTTGAATAGGGAAACGGTAAAAGGGGGAAATTTCTGTATTTTTTAAGTCATAGTTTATTTTTTTTAAGTATATTTTATTGATTTTTTACAGAGAGGAAGAGAGAGGGATAGAAAGTTAGAAACATCGATAAGAGAGCAACATGGATCAGCAGCCTTCTGCACACCCCCTACTGGGGATGTACCCGCAACCAAGGTACATGCCCTTGGCCGGAATCGAACCTGGGACCTTTCAGTCTGCAGGCTGACGCTCTATTCACTGAGCCAAACCAGTTAGGGCCATAGTTTATTTCTTATCTGACCTCCTCTCAAAGAAAAAAGTATTAAATAAAGTTACCAGGATTTTGCTAAAGACATCTTGCTCTAAAAATAGTAATTGTTAAATAAATAAGGAACAGTGCAGTTGGAATTTGTATTGTGAGGCCTTTAAAGGCTAAGATTGATAGTGATTAATTTAGAAGAGAATAATCTTGTACCCCTTCCTGTAAAGAGTACACAATCACTTTCTAAGCGGTTTTATGAAAGATGCTGTCTGTGTGTGTGTGGTCATCGACTCCCTGGATGGTTGTCAGTGATAGGGATAGAGAGGGCAAGCTGCGTACGGTTCTAGTGGAGAGTGATCACAGAAGGCAGTCGTCTCTGGAAAAAAAAAAAAAAAAAAAAAAAAAAAACAAAAAACAAAAACTAGAAAGGTACAAAGTAGAAACCCTAAAAAAAGGTTTAGTACTAGAAAACCCTGAGGGAGGCAAGTAAAGTTGATGTGTATAAAGTACAAATGAGGTGATTCCTCTTGATTACTGTAAGTTAGGTCCTAAAAGCTTAAGGCCAAGAGACAGAGCTGTATGCCACAGGCCCTGTCAGGACCTGTGAGACGACAGTCACACACCTAGTTCTCTGTGCTGAGGAGGAGGTGAGGTGGTTTGTGTGCCTGGCACATAGGTGTTTAGTAGTTTAGATAAAGGTGTTAATGCACATGTAGAAATCATGACTCATCTTGGTTTATAGAAAAGGCAGACAGATACTCTAATACAGAAATGGGACAGGTTTTGACTACAAGGAACATTCATACTAAACAAATAGGTTATTTTATTAACTTGGGATTTATAGGTGGCACTTTAAAAGTGCTAAAAAATAATTTAAAGGTGTATAGCCAGCCTTCTAGCATATGAATGTAGTCCCTGCTGACTTTAATCTCCTAATGTTACCTTGAAAGTGTCCAGATGCCAGGTGTTTGGATTTTTTTAAGTTATGATTTTAGTGCCCTGACCTTTTGGATAATGTTATTAACCCCCCTAGCCAAGCCATATATATATGCCAAATTACACATATCTACATAGAATCATCCTGGATACTTCCGAGCCTTGTCCAGCTTCCAGGTGAAAATAATGGGTCTTATCTCTTACCCTCATAGCCAAGTCTAACGAGCTCCGTTTCTGGACCTCATATGCTGGCCTCAGGGGACCAGATCTCAGAGACCAGAGTATGAAGGAATGAGCCACCTGTGGTGGTGCTCAGGCTGCTTTCTCATCGGGGTGGCTGATTCTGCAGCTCTCCACTAGGCATTTGTAGGGGAGGGGGGGGATGCGATGCGGGGGGAAGAGACCCGGCACACAGTTTAGGAGGAAGGAGCTTCAACGTAAAGCCCTTAGCTGTGGTCCTGGCTCTGCAGCCTCAGAGCCCCGGCACCTGCTTAGGTTGTCCTCAGTCGGGTCAGGACTTGCTGTGGCTTGGGTCTTCCCGGGTCAATGTGAGCTTTGCTCGGACCTGGTTTTTGTTCATTCCCAGAAACAGTGATACGGCTGTACAAGCCTGAGGGAGGTGAGAAGGTAGAAAAGAGGTCCAAGCCTGAGCCCTGGGCAGTGCCTGTTGTAAACAGCCCTTCTCAAACGGCTGCTTGTAGGCTCCCCCAAGTGGGTGTGAAAAAGCCTTGGCTCACAGTAGGCCTGCAAGTGTGGGTCTCCATGTCCGAGTTTCTAACTCCCAGGTGACAGATGCTGTGGGTTTAGCGAACCCCGCTGAGTAGCGAGGGTCTGTGTCCTCAGTCCATAAGGGTGATTGTTTTTAGCTAACGCCATTGTGTTCCACGTCATTATTAACTCAGTAAGAATGGTTTTAGAATTAGCCTCACTTTTTTAGGCACAGAATTAAAATTTCTCATTACAATTGGGAAGGCCTTATATACCAAGTCACAAGCAAGCTGAGAGGGTGGCCGGTGTGAAAGCCGAAATGCTCACATACAATTACAGTCACGATGCAGAGGCCTGCATTAGGTAACGATGCATCAAATTGAGAGCCTTTTAGCATCCAGGACAAAATTGCTGCGCCCAGAAATTACCGGCACATCGAATAGCTCCTGAGTTTTAAAACTGGTTTGAAAAAAGCAAACCCCAAACCGTCATTTTTAATTGGGTTCCCTTACTTAGGAGAGCAATTCTACAAAGTTCAAGAGACTATCACAAAAACCTAAATGAGAGGCGTGGGCACTGAGATGCCACAGACAGACAACCAGCTGTCTGTGTGGGAGCCTGGCCCTCAAACCCGCCCAGCTTCTCCGCAGAGCTTGACTTTGTAGGTAGGTGCTGGAGCCCAGGCCACCGGAAGCTTCGCCTTCTTAGTTCTTCCTTCTTGCCATTTGCAACAGCATGTTTGCAACAGTATTTTGAAGCAGCATGTGAAGGCATAGGAAATACTTTCTGTTTTCTGAGCTGCTTATAAAATATTGGCAAGCCCATATTTCACTACCTAGGTGCAGAGTGCTTTATCAGTGTTGCTTTGAAATGTTGCATATGCCGTTCACCCAGTTGACACAGCTGATTCCACCCAGTTTTTTTTTTAATCTTTACTGTTGAAAATATTACATTGACCCCCCCTGCCCCGCCCCCATTGGCCCCTTCTAGTCCGCCCCCGCCCCAGGCCTTCACCACACTATTGTCTGTGTCCGTGGGTCATGCATTATCTATATAATAAAAGCCTAGCAGCCATTACAGCGGAACGACCAGAACGACCGGTTGACCAGTCGCTATGATGCCCACTGACCACCAGGTGCCAGATGCTCGATACAGGAGGAGGCGGAGGGGGGCGCAGTGAGGCCTGGAGGTGCATGCTATGGCCCAGGGATCTCAGGAACCGCAAGCCCAGAGCCTGCTTTCCAATAAAATAAATAAATTGGGGGGGAAAAAAAGTGGCTAATGCCGCCACCCTGAGAAGAGCAGCTCCAGGAGGGAAAGGCCTCCCCAGGCCCCGCCCGGCGCACTGCGAACTCACAGGGACTCACTGGTGACATGCAGGAAGCACAGCCCCTCCAACTCCAAAGCCAGTCACACGGACAGCTGCTCCCCGTCCAGCTCCGTGGCGGACAGCTCTGACACTACCTGCGCTTGGGGGCGTGGCTTCGGCCTCCCCGGCCAATAGCGCCGCAGCACAGCCAGAGGGTGGCAGGACACAGCCACCAGGGCTGGCTGGGCATTGATTTGGCTGCTGACTGACGTCCATGTGCAGTTACACTGTGTACTTACATTTGTAGGGAAGCGGGACACCTACTCCTACCGCCCCCGTCACCTTCTAGGCCAGTGATGGTGAACCTTTTGAGCTCAGCGTGTCAGCATTTTGAAAAACCCTAACTTAACTCTGGTGCCGTGTCACATATAGAAATTTTTTTATCTTTGCAACCATAGTAAAACAAAGACATATTTTTGATATTTATTTTATATATTTAAATGCCATTTAACAAAGAAAAATCAACCAAAAAAATGAGTTCGCGTGTCACCTCTGACACGCATGTCATAGGTTCGCCATCACTGGTCTAGGCTAAGAAAGGCCTGCTGATCTCCATGTTTCTCCTCCCGTCCGGAATCAAAACCTCTTGGGGATGAATGATCCCAGCGATGGCCCCAACACATGCTCGGTGTCACTATCACAGACATTCCCAGTTACTACAGTTCGTTCCGCAGCCTGCAGTGCCCTGCTCCACCCCCTGCCACTCCTCACCTGTCACCCCTGAGGACCACCTGCTGGAAGCCGGTCCATCCTTGCTGCTTGACACAGTCGCTGCAGGATAGAAACATCTGCACAGCATATGTTTCAAGGGACCTGGCGTATATAGCATACTGTTCTTAATATGTTTGCTCCCCTTAGCGCTGTGTGTTTTAACCAAGGTCACCTCTCCGAGAAAGGTTGTTTCCCCAGGTAGGGATTTTTCCCTGAAGTCAGGGAGGGGATGAAACTCCTTAACTAAGTGCCAGGCGGGTAGTTAATCACTTTAACTACAAACAATCATGCTTAAGCTACATAATCTTTACTCCCTGGAATGGAGATAAGAAACACCCTAACCTTTGTAATAGAAATTGACAGGATTAAAATCAACTGGTATAAATACCGATGTAACAAGACAATAAACACCAGAACCTCTCTGGAGATCCAGACCAGAACTTGGCTGGAGATCCTGGCTAGGCTGCTGATCAACTGAACGCTGTCTCTGTGTCATTCATTCTTCGCTGACTCCGTCCACACCTTTGGGGACCCCTGGACCTGCTGGGGTTGGACCCCAGCATCTGGTGCCCAAACAGGGACCCCTAGGTAAGCCCCACTC